TAGGCCGCGCGCTGTGTGCGGCTGGGTTGCGGGTCTGCCTACCCCACCGTCTGCGGGCGCCTCGCCAAGCCGAATGAAAGAGATGGCAACCAGAGGGCCCGGTCATACGCGCCGGCGTGAAGCAGGGAGAACTCCAGCGGAAATGCGTGGTATTAGTGGGAAGAGTGGACAGTAGCGCGATTAGAGAGCTCACTCGCGCGAGTGAGCTCGCTCGCTCACTTAGCGCTTAAAGTACCTTTAAACTGTTGAAAATGTTGAAATGTTGAAAATGAAGGAAATTGTAAAATGTGAAGAAATAACGAAAATCTGAACTGAATTACGTGTTTAAGAGAAAAGTAAAGCCACCAAGCAGTGAAATAAGGAGGCGGCGCGCAGATCGTGGAGCGAGCGAACTAATCGAACTGCAGCGCTGCAGCGCTGCAGCCCCAGACTGCCCCCCCCCCTCCTCCCAAACACGAAGTAAGAGCAGAAACAGCAGGTTTGCCGCGTCACATATTGTACCGGGTGATTCAGGGAAGCGACGCAGATGCGGGTAGGTTTGTCTATTCGCCCTGCCCACAAGGCACCATGGCCCCTTAGGTAGGCAAACCCGCCCGCACCTTCGTCTCACCTGAATCACCAGGATACATACGCCAACCCGGCAGTAGAACCGAGAAAACAACTAAGTTTTCAAACTCTAAAAATAATTCTAAAAGCGATGGTGTACGATTGGTGTTGTTCAGCCAGACGCTGCTGGTGTCTTTACTTACGCGAGCGCCGGTAGAAAGGGCTTGGTGAAGAGCGAGCCCGGCGCCTGCATCACGACCTGCTCCTCGGTGCGGAACATGCTGCGCCCCATGGCTGCGGCCGCGCGACGGGCTGTCACCTCCCGGACCTCCCGGTCACCTCATGGTTCGCGCGGACGCGCCGGGGGACGAGCCAAGGACCGAGCCAAGGGCCGGGCGGGTACCGCGGGTACTGCGAGTGCTACCCAGGGAGCCGGGGCGTCGAGCGGTTCGTCGGTGTTGCGCCCGTGCGGCAGGGCGTAGGGGCGGCACTGGACTGACGCGCCGGCCCGCCCGCTTGGCCGCAGCCGGCCGGCCTGGTGCCGGTGCCTGCCCGGGGGTGGGGGGCAACAACGCCTCCTCCGCCCCCTCCCCCCGCCCACACTCACCCGGCACTTATGCAGGACTTCCAGAAGTCGGTATCGAGGTGCTTGTTGCACACGTCAGAGCACCTTTCACCTTGCGTCAAAGAAAGGATAGGTTGTTGTCCCAGGCGCGTATTAAAGGGGAAGGGAAGGGGCACCCCCCCCCCCCCTCTCCCCGGTCGGACCAAGATAGACGCTTGGAAGGTAGGCAATTTGAGCTACAAAACCCCTGTGTATAGGCAAGTTGCTCGACATATCCCTCCGATAGAGTATAACTAGTTCAACCAAAAAAGACGGCGTAGATCACCCACCCATCCACCCTATCCTGTACCGTGTGTCAGAGTTACAACAGAGCAGTGTCGCATACCCTTAGGGGCTATGGTGCCGTGCTGATGAATCGAGTAAGCAAACCCGCATACTGCTGCGTCGTAGCTGTAGTATCCTTGACACACGGTACCCTATCCGTCTGCTCTCGGCCGAAGTAGGTCACAGCTCTTGCGACTCTTTGTATGATCTTATGGTCGATCCTCACGCTTAAGTTCTGACAGGGTCTAACCCGGAATAGTGGTTTGCTTCGGTTTGGCTCCACCATGGATACCCAGCAATTAAGCACCCCTCCCCCCCCCCTTCCAATCCGCCCTACCTTGGTAAGATGCGTGGTCGAGCAACACAACACAATGCCAAGACACGCCAGGGTGCCAGGGGCCAGGGGGTTTGCATGGTGCGGCGTGCGGGGCGGGCCCAAACTACCCGAGCGAGCGGCCGGCCCCTAGACCGGAAGTACTTTCCTTGGCCAAAGCGGCCATCGAGCCTGGGGCCCCGACCGGTCGGAACGGAAAGGGGTAGGAGAGGAAAAAGACACCTGCTCAAAGTCGTGGTCTTTCCCTTTGGAAGAGGCATTTCCCACAATTATTCTCTGGAAGTGGGGTGAAGTGGTGGGTTGGTGGTTACTTCTAGCTTCGGACATCAGCTCAAGATGTTTTCCGAGATGAGAAATCACATGTCGCAACGGTCAAAAATGCGTCATAATATATGTTTCGACGTCGTTTTGGCAGTAAATTCTCACTGGGTTCAGAGAGCCGCGTTTAATGTCATAGTTCCATGGCAAGAGGATTCAACCGCTACAACCAGCTGCTTGAGTTTTTGAAGGCTCCCTGCCGAGCGGCGGCGGCGGAGCGCCACATTTGAGCTGCGTCCAGACAAGAGGGTCGCTTGGGTTGCTTGGGTCGCTTGGGTCTCTGAGCCGGCGCAGAAGCCACGTTTTGGTTCTCTGCGCAGACCTCAGAGACCCCACAGCGACCCAAACAACCCAAGCGACCCTCTTGTCTGGACGCAGCTCTGCAAGACCTTCAGTCAGTCACTGGTCACTGACTGCGGCGACCCTTCAGCGTCACCGACAGTCGGGCAGCCACGCGATGGGGTCGTTACTGCTGGCAATTTATGATTGGTAATAATTTTTGCGCGAGGGGAACGGCAACATTCCTACTGCGCTCCGTATGTGCTGCTGTTAAGATGTCTCCTTTCCTATCGCGATTTCCATACTTTCCGGTTCGCTTTGGGGCTCGCACTTGCCGTATCCCTTTGCAAAGATGTTCATGCCATCCCGCATCCCCAGATCTGACAACCCGAGGCCGCGGGGCACAGGTGGTGCTGGCCGAGAATGGATCCGCTGGCACCCGCATGTCGGCGATGCGAGTTGTTGCAATAATGGTGCAACAGTGACCTTCCACAGTTTACTTCACTTTGGTCTCAACGACTAATTAAATTAAACAACAGACATCGTTTGTAATGAAATCACAATAGTTTATTACAGTAATTACAAAACATACAAACTTACAGTTGATTGACAATGACTCTGAACTTACAATGTAACATTGTAATAAAATACTTAATTTTTAAAAAAATCACAATAAATACACATTTATTATATACCTCATAACCTATCAAGGAGGTGGAAGATATGGTGGTCTTGTTGGAGGAGGTAGATGAGTAGGAGGTGGCTGTGACATTGAAGGGGGAACTAGATGGGGGGGAGGAATGGAGAGAGGTGGGTGAACCATGGGACCATGCGGGGGCGGCGGCAGGCTGTGGTTGGGTGGAAGAACAGGAGGGGGGTGGTTTGGAGGAGGTAATGAGGGTGGAGGAATGTTCGGCGGAGGAAGGGTTGGTGGCGGTATTATTTGAGGAGGAAGTGAGGGGGGAGGTTGCGAAGGAGTAAAGAATCCTGTGGGTGGATAGGAAGCAGGGAATGATGATGGTGGAAAAGCTGGTCCCGCAGAGCTGTAACTACTATAGTTAATTGTTGACATGTCCAGCTTGTCCAATGAACTTTCATTGTCCTTGCGTTTCACTGGGGGAACTCCTGACAAAGGAAAATAGCAAGAGATTCATTTGCAAGTTAATCATAAAGAATACGTGGCACTCTGGCACTCGCAAGTGGAGCTATACCACTTTTGGGTGGTGGGTACGGATAGCAAATTTAAGATCCCATAATCCATCTTGATCTATCCAAGGCCAATTTGGGGCCACCATAAAAATAAAACCCAAGTCAAAATTTTACCCTTTTGTGATGTATAGTACAGTTTTCAGGAACACTGTGATAAGTGTGGTTGCAATAGCATGAGCCCAACAGACAATACAGGGTGTACAGTTCAAAGAGACTTTCCCACCACAATAGCTCCGCCCGCAGCAGGGAAGGAAAGTCTAACGTCAAATTGAACACCCCTCATAGTAAAGTTTTAAAAATCATACCAGTCAATTGTTTAATAGCTCTTGTGAATATAACTAATTGAATAAAATTGCGTTAATATCACAAAGTCATTAGTACTAACCAGCTGGTGAGTGGGTGTGCTGAGCTGGCGAAATAGGTTGAGGATGGTGTCTGTCTTTCCTTCCTGGAGGTACATCTTCATAAGGAGGTGAATCAGGCACTTGGTTCCCTTGAGGTTGAGAATAAAGATCTAATACTTGATGGCAAATATCTGTTGGAATTGAGAGAGTTAGTTAGCAGACAAACTGAAACAGGCATAACAAACTAAACAATATGATAATTTTATAGTAACCTCACCTTCTAATAAATCCATAGTAACATCTTCAACAAAGACATCCCACCATCGTAAATGTTTTGGAGTGCGCCCCTGCCAGTCAACTACTTCAAATTTGCTGAGTTTTCCAGCCAGATACATGAGAGCAACTGCTATGACTTCGGGTTCCCATTGTAGACACAAAGTTGTACAGAGACTAGAGAGAGAGAATAGATAGATATAATAATTTCATGAAATGAAAATACAGGATAACACAATTTGCATCCTCTCATACCTGTCATTTACAAATGTCCAAGCCATCTGGACCATTTTTTGCAGTTTAGTCTTATCACCTATCATTTAAAATTAAATCCATTAGCGACTGTTTTAAACGGCAGATCTTATACAATTTGTAGGAATGATTACCTCTTAAGCTTTTGGCATATTTTAGGAGGAAGCTGTAGGGATGTTCAACTTGAAGATCAAATTTGATTGTCTGAAGCAGAATGCGCTCCAATGTCATTACCTCCTCCTGAAAACATAATTCCGAAATTCCATAACTATTGATTCTTTGATGACTGTGGGAGAGGTTCTCACACTTTTAACAACTTTACCTTGGGATCATCACCAAACTGTCGGAACTTCTCATCAGAAAGTTTCTCACGAGCTATTTTAATGATGTCTTTACACTTTTTTGGTGTTTCCTCAACTTTTCCAGCAAGAAAGAGACAGCAGCAAGCAGTTACCTAAGATTAAATTTGATTGAGTTTGGGAATGCATTAAGAAGAAAATGCAGCATGATTCAACGCAAATACTTACATATCTAGGGAAACTTTTGAATGAATGGGCCATGTAAAATCTATGAAAGTAGACTACACCAGTGGCCATTGTGTTATATCCTAAATCCATCTTTGTTCCTGTATCAATAATAAAACGGGCTCCTTCCTTGCGGTACCTGCTTTCTGTCTCGGCACTGATTCCATCTTGCAGTGATGGTGAGTTTCGGAGCTCTTTTTTGTCAAAGTACCAACAAGGCATATTGGTAGTACCTGCAGGAAGGGAAAATAAACAGGTAGGTCAGAACATTAGTGAAGAAATAACAACCTGATATCCCCACCCCCTGAAAGGGGTGAAATATACCTGTAACAAAACAATATGCTACTTTCTCTTTTCACTCAAGACACTATCAGGCTTCATAAAAGCAGTTTCAGAAAGAAGCAGACAAGTAAAAGCAGTTAAATCCAAAAGCCATCACATTTTGTATTCATACCATTTTTCAAGTTATTTTTCAAGTCGGCGTCCGTCGACCCATCAAGGTCCATTGATGACATAGTGGACGACGACGACTGTGCGTTTGCAGGATCACTACCGCAAAAATGTGCGAGCACAACTACTCATAATCTGCCGGTTTGATGTAGGTCTAAACTTGGGCTAAAGGCTGGACTTGTACTCGTGCGTTTGCAGATAGCAACCAAATCGCCGAGAACCCTAACCTCGGTATCGGCGCGGCGCGGATGTCAACGGCATTGCTGGCCTACTAACCTTGCCACAAAACTACTCATGCTTATCATACTTACGTCCTACGTTTCTACAAGTTCACTGACATAGTTAATTGATTTTCGTGACAAAAGTATGTTACTGTTCGAATAGTTATAAGTTCCTACAAATTTCAGTGGTGCTCAGTAGATATATACTTTGAGGCACCGCCTTGCGATAACGAAACGAAAGCTGATGGTTGATTTTGAAGGATTTGGTCTGTTCCAATTAATGTCTGCATAGGTTTTGAAATTTTTAAGTTTGGTTCTGACCGTTCTGACACTTGCGCCGTGCAAACCAAGAAAATTTTGGGCTAGGCTATGTCACAAAGACATTGTGTCGTCGGTTATAAGTCTAAATGTTAAAACCACTTTCAATAGAAGGGGTGAAATAAAACTCATGACTGCCATTTGAAATATCTATTATATACACGAATACTTCAAATAAGAATAAGACATAAATATGCCAGCAGTAGTCAAGCCTTTGGGGAGGAAGGATGAGTAGAGATTATCACATTGATACAACATGAATTGAAAAGCAGATGATTATGCTTTATTACATAAAAAACACTGGAGATCAACAAAACGGAAGAGCACAAAAGCTTGTAGTTAATGTGGCAATTAAAACTGGTACTCTATTCGATCCTCTCTGATTTCATTTTACAGGGCAATATCCTTCTATACAATCTAAATTTTATGTACATTTTCAATCTTTTCTTTCTTTTTTTTTTTTTTTTACACAAGATTGCCCACTCATATCAAACAACGACAAAGTGCTCTAAAAAGTCAAGGAAAATAACAAAGAATTGATAGGGAGACTCAGAATCACCTCCTTACATATCACATTTGAAAATTTCATTCACGGCCAGTATACACATTTTACATACATACACATGATACACTGGTAAATAACATTACTAATATCTACACACAGTCATTCATACTCACAGGTACTAGCCTACTAAGGAATGAAATAATTCTGAGTCCTTGAAAAACAAATCATAAGTTCATTCAATGAACTGTATCTTCTAGAGTAAGTTTATATATATTGCATAGCTATGAACAAAATAGCTAATTTCAAATTAACAAATAGGTAAGTTATACTGATGATTTCCTAAATTTCAAAACTGGGATGGCATACTGAATTGTTAAAGCTCCTTGTCAACTACCCACAGACTGAAAAAATTGAGGCATTGAGTGGTGCGTCTCCAAACAGGTATGTTCCCCTACAACATGTGAAGTATGACCATTTTTACTATTGAGATTCAACTTTTAAATTAGTCTAATAAATGTTGAATTGTTATATTTTTAAAATAAGAATGTATGTGCATCTGAAGAAAATAGTCTACTGCTTTTTGTTGCACGTACATAGAAAGTAGGCTCGTGCTAGGAGACAGCCGACCAACTACAAATTCCTCCATTCACAAAAGGGGGCCAAAGTATGCTAATAAAAGTGTTAACACTAGAAAATAAAATACAACCCAAAACTCTTAACAATCTGATATAAAAGAGGAAGCTAGTGAAATGGAAGCAGTCAGTGAGTAACATCAACTCACATAAACAACAGCAGCACACACAACACGTGCACAATGATACTTTCCCAGTAAAAAAAAAAAAAAATCTACGCTGAGGAATACATACATCCAATTGAAGATTAGACGAGAAAGACTAGGAGAATTAACACAACAAATATAATTAAACATGGACAACATGCCCTAGTGAGGTACATAAAAATTGCTGTAAAATCAATACCATACAAATAGTTTACATTTCTGATAAAATGCAGTTGGGCCATGATTCCTTGAGAACAGGGGGGAATGCTACAGTAAGAAAATTATTGCACATCATTCAGTTGCCTATAGACAAATCCAGGTGAGAAAGCAAACTAATGGAAATTTTTCAATGATAGGTAGAGAATTAATATAGACAAATTGATCCATGCCCCAAAAGACATAATATAGGTAGGAACTGGAAATACAAGAACAGAACGGTTAACCAGACATCATTCATTCCCAAGACTTTTTGTTCTTCATTTCCTTTCGTTTGATTTTCATAGCCCTTTCTCTCTGTTTCTCTTCAAAGTTACGGATATCGCCTTCATAGTTATCGTGGGCGTCCCCGCCATGGTGCGTGTGGTGTGGAGGAGGCCCGCCAGGCCCGTGACCCGGGCCGTGACCAGGACCGTGGCCAGGTCCGTGGCCAGGTCCGTGACCAGGTCCGTGACCAGGGCCGGGGCCGTGTCCTGGTCCTGGTCCGTAGCCTGGGCCACCGCGACCTCTGAAGTGACCGCCACGTCCTCTGGGGAAGAAGCCGCCGCGGCCAGGAAATCCTCCTCTGCCTCTGCCGCGGTCCCAACCACCTCGGCCCCGTCCGCGCATCCCTGGGTGCATGCCTGGGTGAGGGTGTCCTCTAGGATGGCCAGGATGTGGGCCTGGGTGACCTGGGTGGCCTCCAGCGTGCGGGTACTCTCGCGGTTCCCAGCGGTCCCTGTCACGCTCCCTGTAGTCCCGGTAGTCGCGGCCCCGGTGGTCCCTGCCACCACGGCCCCTTTCTCTGTCTCTGTCGCGACCACGCTTGGGGCTCCTGTCATACGAGCGACTCCTGCTTCGCGATCTGCTGCGGTAGCTGCGGCTCCTGCTGCGAGACCTGCTGCGGCTCCTACTTCGGCTGCGAGACCTGCTGCGACTTCTACTCCTGCTGCGCGAGCTGCGGCTCCTGCTGCGCGAGCGCCTCTTGAAGGGCTTGTCTTTGTAGTAGCCCTCGGTGGGCGACGGCGGCCGGTCCTTCCAGCGCGCCACGGCGCCTTTCCTGCTGCTGCTTGCCTCGTCCAGGTCGCCGGGTGAAGAGTGACGACGCTTGCGGCGCGGAGGGGTGGGCGGACGCGCCAGCCTCGAGGTATGCGGCGACAGTGACCGCGAGCGGGAACGCGAGCGCGACCGCAGAGACCTCGACCTCGACCTCGACCGCACACGTGAAGACGGCGGTGGGCTTCGTGGGCTTCGTGGGCTTCGTGGGCTTCGTGGACTCCGTGGACTCCGCGGGCTGCGTGGGGTCCTCGGGCTTCTGGGGCTCCTGGGAGTTCTGGGAGTTCTGGGACTTCGTGGTGTCCGCGGACTCCTTGGAGTGCGCGAGCGTTGGCGCGACGAGTCAGAGCCGGAAGAGGCGGAGCGCGAGGAGGCCGACCGCGACGATGATGAGTCTGAAGCGGAGGGCGACGCTGATCGAGACCTAGGCGACCTGGATCGTCTTGGTGGAGGTGACAAAGATGGCGACCTGTTTCGGAACAGATGTGCTGGAGGAGAAGGGTTCCGGGCCAGGGGCGGTGACTCTCTGCGCGGGCGCGGCGGTGGCGTGTCGGGTGGCGGCGGCGGCGGGGTCGCGGGCTCAGGCGGCCTGTCCTCCGGTAGGTCGGGGGGCAGGGGAGCGGCAGAGGCGCCCGCCCCCGCTCCCGATCCCGCGCTGGGGTGGGTAGAAGGGTACCCACATAGAGGTTCCAGGTCCATCTCGTTGCAGAACGATGGGTCATCCTCCATGCCTGGTGGAGGTGGCTGCAGCAGCGAAGGCGAAGGCTTAGGTGCAGGTTTGGGTGAGGGCTTGGGTGAAGGCTTGGGTGAGGGCTGAGCGATGCTTGGCGGTGGGAGCGACATGTCGGGTAGGTGGGCGATACCCGTTCCGGGCGGGGGTGGGGGCTGAGACATGTCTGGAAGACGGGCCGGTGGAGAGTGTGTCCCGGGTGGGGGTGGGTTCATGTGCGCCGGCGACGGGACGTTAGGAGGGGGTGGGTTCATGTGCGCCGGGGAGGGCGTGGCGAAGGCTGGTGCCGGAGGGTTCATGTGAGAAGGGGTGAGCGGCAATGGCAGTGGCAGAGGGGTCACGGAGTTGATAAACTGGCCCAGAAGCGGCGGCCGAAGCATGCTCGGTGGTGGCTGTGATAGATCCGGCAGAGGCTCCGCCAGCAGCTCGGGCACGGCCGAGGGTAAGGCCTGGGGCTCAGGCCCGACTGCAGGGGGTGGTTGAGACATGTCTGGCAGAGGCTCCTGAGAGTCGTCCGAGTCCGACGGCTGGGGCGCTTCCGAAGATGACTCGCCAAGACCTGGGATGAACTCGCTGCCCGCCAATCTAGACTGGGAGAACGGAGTGGCGTCTGAAGTGTCCGCTGCGTCCGAATGCTGTGAGAGGTCATCGCTCAGAAAACTAGTCATTGCGCTCTTGGAGAACTTTCTTTCTCTCCTCGATATAGGAGGAGTAGATGGTCTAGAAGGAGGCGACGACTTGCTGCTTGTCATGGGCGTGGCAAAGAAAGAGGAGCTGCAACCGGTGGGGACGAACGATGGGCCCTCGTCAACGTCGGGAGAGTCACCTAAGCCTGCATAGTTCTGTATGATAGGGTCCACCTTCATCAATGATTTGTCAGATTTCAGTAATGATTTAGTGCTCAATAGATGAGGCGGGGGAGGAGAGCTTGGTGGAGTGAAGGATCTGGACGGGCTGTAGGGCTTTGAGTCGTCTTCCTCACTGTCTTCTTTGAGTGCTGGGGTCCGACTCTCTCTAAGGACACTCTCCAAGGATTTAATTCGTTGGGTTTCTTCATAAATTTTTCGATCTAGCTCCTAGAAATAGAAAAAATGCATAATGTAGGCAAAATGTTTCCTTATGCACTATTCACAGAATTTTCAAAAACGTACCGCTCTTTGACGTTCAGTTTCTTCATCACTCTCTCCATCTCCTGGGGAATATGGGGCATTGTCATCTTCCAGGTCACCAAGTAATGGAATATTGACTTTTGGAGAAAGACTGTTCAAAGAAATTTATTAGCATTAGATTACCAATTGATCATAGTGTATTCTATCTAGTGGGTGGACTAATCATACAGTCAGAACATCAAGGTGCCTGATTCGTCAAGTCTTTACCCCTCCACAGGTGCAGCCACTAGCAGCACAAAGGTACTAGTGAACATGAGCCCTCCCATTTCTCTTATAACTTTGCCCACTAGCTAGAATGGATTTTACTGTTAAAATGCTCACTCATTGTGATGCTTACCTTGGTGATCCAGGAGGTGTATGGCTTCGTTTGCTGGTTTGAAGTGGTGGTGTATAGCTTCTTTCCTTAGCATCAGAGGCTAAGAGAGAGGATTTAATGGAGGGTGTCACAGATACTACTTTAATAGGGTCTGAAGGTAGTTTGCTGGGATCTGAAGTATGTCGGTTTTGATCTAAAACCAGTTTTGAAACTTTGGCAGACAGAGGGGTCCCTTTTGGTGCCAATGGTGTCAAACTGGCTTCACTGGCAGTTCGCTTTCTTCTTGCCCATACAACAATGGCAAGTAAGAGATGAGGTCTGAAAAACATCAATAGAAGTATGAGTTCTATTCAGGAATACAACCTAGACCAACCACAATACAAATATTCTAACTTCCTCTTACCTATTTTCATTAAAGCCGGGACAGTCAAGAGGGGTTAATACAGCAGGAACAGGAGCATCCTTGTCCAGAGGTAGTATGTAAAAGTCTTTGACATTGGCTGATGGAGATTTTACAACTGCTAAGCGGTTGCGATTACTCAAATAACTGTAGAGTTTCATGTAAGCTTCCCTTTCATCTTCATTGCTCTCTGAGCTTAAACAGCGTAAGACAGCTAAGTCCTTTGTCTTCTTGATTTTGGCAATGTAGTCCCATGCCAGTTGGGTCGGAATACGACCCACACAAAATATAACACTAGATAACTCTTTACCAAGATCTTGGGTATCTCCAGAAACAGTTTGCAAGGCACTTGGGAATTTAGCAACATCATTCATATGAATAGAACCACGCCACACAGTTTTTGGATCATCTGCCCATGTACTTTCTTCTAGGCCTATCTCTGGAGTCTTAATTATCACTGTGGAAGTTGGTTCGTGGTCTGACACATCAACTTCCTCTTTCTTTGACTCAAAAGTAACAAACTCAGGCACATAGGGGTCATACTCTTCTGTTTTGAGATCAGTTAGTTTCTTACTACTAGTACTGCTTGTACTATGGTCTTGACTTCCTCTTTGACTTCTTTCATTATTCTTTGTTTTGGAGTCTTTCCTGCTCCTGCTGCGACTTCTCCTTCCTTCTTTCTTAGAGTCTCGATCATGACTCCTTTCGCGATCCTTACTTTTCGTTTTTTTACTATGATGTTTATGACTTCTGTGCTTATCTTTGTCCTTGTGTTTGTGATGTGAACTTCTCAAATACTCAGGGTCATCATCATCCTTACGCTGTTTCTCTTTCTCTCTTTGCCTACGCTCTAACTCACGTTCCTTCCTAGTTAATTCTCCCTGTTCCATTTTTTCTGTTTCTTCTAAAGTCGTAGATGTAACTGAATCATTAAGAGCAGAAACCAGATCGGTGACAGTTGTATTGGGATCAATTTCAGGAACATTTTCTGACGACTCTGTTTCGATTTCCTAAGATAAAGAAAAATGTTATTAGATCTCATTCGCTTTGCTGAAGTAATAACTTGTAAGTAATCATACCTGTTCTCCTTTGTGTGTCTTCATGACAACTGATTTAGCCATCTGTAATAAATCTAATTCACTCTTTCGGATCATTTCTAACTGATGTTGAGCTTGCTGCTCACGCCACTTAGCCAGTTCTTGAGAAGCCAACTCCTCAGCTGAGAATCGCACTAATTCACTAGGAGACAGTGATCCATCGGCTATTCTTCTGAAGAGGGAAGGGTTTTTGGGATCCCGTATGTTGAAGACTAGTGATCGATACTTTGCTTTATACTTCATGCCGGTATCCCTACAATAAATTGAAAAATAATAACAAAACAACCAGATATGAAGAGTTGCACTATAAAAGAGATGATTTAACAGATTATTTATTGTATCTTCGTATGAGCAATGCTCACGGAACCTATGTGCCATGACAATGTTTTGTTTATTTAAAAGACGACACTTACTTGAAAAGAGAGAACATCTCTTCTTCAATTGAGATTGCTATCTTCTGAAGAGCATCCTCACTGGGGCTAATATCTTTGCAGTCTTTCAAACGATTTGATAAAGCTTCCTAAGTTTCCAGGATAAGAGTGTTTAACAATAAAATTAATTTCAGATAAAGCACATAAGGTACATTACTCTGGGGAAATTGACAAACCTGGAGAGTTTTGCTAACTGTGTGTCGAATAGGTTCACCCTTGTCCCGGTCTCTCTCTCTATCCTTATCTTTAGGCGTATCATCTATGCTACTCTTTCGGCTTCCAGAATCTCCTGTGCTGGATTTTCTCTCTGGTTTCTTGGAGGACTGCAAGATAATTCCATTACATAAAATAATGATAAGGTAAATATGGGGAAAGAACATAATATGAATTGCATGAAAAAAGGCATACCGAAGTTGCTTTACTGGATTGGGAAGATGCCACGGAAGTTGGAGTATTTGGTGTTTTAGGAGTTTCATTTTTCTGGGAGGGTTGTCGCTGGAGCTGAGGAGTCTGGAAGAATACAAAAATCGCACATTTTTACAGCAATTAACAATAATTTTCAAAGTAGAATCACAAATGTTCTTAAGATGCAGAAAAATACCTGAGGTTTTGAAGCTGATTGACTTGAGGTGCTAGGACTAATTGTCACAGCGTCAGGGGTAAATACTAAAGTAGATTGCTTCAGTAGTTTCAAAGCACTACTTTTGCTTGCACCTTTATGCGGTGTATCAGATTTTCCAGACTGTGCTTTACCGAGAGGTCCCTGTAGACCTTGCGACTTAGGAAGCTGAAAGCTTAGTTTTGATTTGGCCTGGTAGAGAGATAGGTAAGAAAGAAATAAGATCAGAGTTGCTACACTACAACTGAAATAAAGAACAACCTGGAAGATTGTTGTACTTTGATATTTATGTACTTTTGACTAAATTTGACATATACTTTGTCTAGTCACAGGCATTATTGTCTATGGGATGGTTGTCATTCATCTAATAGTGCAAAAATGAAAATGATTCAAGTTTTCACAAGTTAAATAAAGGGTAAATAATTAAAATGATCTCGTGCAAGAATTTATTGAATAGAATAATTGTTAAAAATTAGATGAAAATTTCTAAACTTAAGTTATGTATCACAAATTAGCCACTTACTAGTTTGGAAGGAATTTCTGCATTGACTGCAGCAACCTTGCTTTGCTCAAGATTATGCTGCTCCTCCAAGGCTGCTTGCTGAGCCCGGAGTGCAGAAGCACTCGTAGCACGCTTACTTATTTTTACCCTCTCTTTATCCTTTTCCTTGCTTGAACTGTGTGAACGATGCGGGGTGACTGATGGAGTTGTGGCAGCCGAATTTGCAGGCGTTGAAGGAGTACCCCCAGAGGACATGTTTGATGACTTGGAATTTGGCTTGGGCAAGGGAGTAACAACTTCAAAAGTAGGGTTCATTACAAGCCATTTGGCCAAATCAGCAGCAAGTGGGCCATTTGAACTTGCAAATATTCTTCCAGTCTTCTTCTCAATGACAGTTATGTGAAGATCAGCTTTAGCTTGTTCACCAGGTTTTGTCAATGTTTTGAGTGTTTCCTCTGCATAAAGATTTATGCAGGTATCACTGCAATACAGCTGGCCAGTTTTAGAAGCAGCTTTGCGACATCTGATACAGACAATTTGACCAGGCTGGAGACATTTCTCAGCTAATTCTTTAGGTATTTTAGTTTGCTTAAGGGAAGGCTGTTTCAGTCCACCTTCCTTAAGGTTTTTAGAGGATTCTTTGGTAGCTTTGGACGTTTCTTTAGACAAAGCAGGCTTCTGATGCAGTGAAGATTCTTTAGAAGACTTGGAACTTTCCTTCATCAATGCTGATTTCAGAGGAGACTTGCTTCCTATTTTACCTTGTGAATCTTTGGAAGTTTTAATTGATTTGCTGGGGGAACTCGGTTCTCTTGAGTCGATGTGTTCACTTGATTTAGTTGAGGGTAGTAGAGCCTTGATAGAAAGTTGTTTTATTTTGTTCCCGGACACAGTTCTGGAAGGTGTTGCAGAATCCGACCCAGAGCTTTTCCTCACAGATCTAGCACCAGGAGGAGATAATGGTTTTTTATCATCCATCGGCTCTCCTCTACATTTTGGGCACGTCCATTCAGGTAAGCGAGATCCTGAAAAAAAAATAAAAAAAATAATGAATAATTGTGATAGAAATGTACATTTCATTTCAATTTACAAAGATTCCAAACATTTAGTTAAACAATTATAAGTTCACATTTGCTTAACATACCCATCGCTTTCGTAATTCCCACGCAGTGTCCATGAAACCATTCCTCACATTCGTCGCAACAGATCATGAACCTGTAAGGCAGAAAATACACAAGAAAATACAGTGATGCATTTAATAAAGTGTACATAATGATTGTAAACAACTTGGGCAACAGAATATTTTACCTGTTGTTATGAGGCTTCTGGCAAATGCACCACAATCTATCAGGGTCGTCTTCAGAGTTCCAGCTCTCATCATCACTTCTCAGGGCAGCACTGTCACCATCAACTTCTCCTTCTTCCTCAGATACCTCAGATGCCACATCATCCTCCAGAAGGGCTTTAATAGATGAAGACCGTCTCCTACAAGTTATGAATGGAATATTACATTTAAGAACGTCAACAACACGGACTTAACTTTGAATTCAAACACAAATATAACAACTCTGACCTTTTTTTCTCAGAAGATTTATCACTAGAATCATTGGCTGACATTTCTCCTGACTTTCGCCGTGGGCTTTTAGATGACTTATCAGTGGATTTCCTTCTTTTACTATTACTACCGCTTTCTGCTTTTTCTACTGAGCTGCGTCTCCTTGGTGTCTCCGCCTTAGTCACAGCTGAGTCTGCTGGCTGCTCTTCCATAGGAGTATGGCGCAGATCTTCCTTCATATCCTCATCTTTGGTTTCAACACTGGCAGTAGTAGTGACATTAGCCGTCTGCAAAGAAAATACATCACAATAAATATTGCATCAGAAATTGAAAGAGAACTGAAAGTTAAATTCCCAAAGCAAAAAAAATCTAACCATGAGACTGGCTTCCGTAACTAATGGGGCTTCAGGTACGGGAATTTGTTCTGTGGTTATTGCAGAAGCTGGTTGTTGATCCAATGGCTCATCCTAGAAAGGGAAATAAAGAAAATTTTACACAGGCACAAGGGCTTTAAAATAAAGATTACATTATTTTTATTATTAAAACAAAACAAAAACAAAAACAAAAAGAAATGAAATGTAAGATTGGAAGAAGTTTACAAGGTGGAAGGCATCTGCTGAAAATTTACAAGTGAAGTTAACAATGCTGTAAGACAGCAATCCAGTCTTAAAAGTACTGGGGAAAGCGACAGAGATATAAGAATAGAAATTATTTGATACCCACATGCCATAAATTAAGTAGGAGCTAACATAAGATTCCAAAGTACTGACCCCTACACAGTGCTTCAAGTATATTGAATTAAGAAAAAAATCAAGAGTTTGAGAGTTTTATCTGAAGAAAGAGACAGTGTTGTATCACTCATAAATTCTATAAAACTAATAGTTTAAAAAAAAAAGTAAATCCAAACTTATTTTTGTTTAGGGTTAGTTCATGATAAAGCTTCCTCCCATGATATCGCTATCAAGCCAATTGGAATTTTGAAGCTAAGAATGGACTGAGATGATTTGTGAGATTTGTGATCAGAGATCAGAACAAAGAAATTCTAATGGAAGAGAGATATGAAATAGATACTACGTACATAATCCTCTCCCTCAGATAGGTACAAAAATGTAATGTCCCATTTGCAAACATGCTGTAAAATATAATGTGCTTTGAAACTTAGTGCCTCAGAAAGGAGTAGAAACTGAGTTTCCAAGGAATTGAACAAATGATTAAGTTGTGTCCCATTAACATAACTATCTGGTACTCAGTAAGAAATGTCAGAACACATGAAAAGAAAAGAAAGATAGATAGCGGAAAAAAATAAGATAGAAAAAAAAAAAGACCACAGCTATACCCATTGGTTGATCATCTACATTAAATTAAACATTAACTAAATTATGCAACAAACACTTCAAGCAGGTCAATCTACAAAGGGAAGTTCACCTGTAAAATGTGTCCAGTTTCCATGGCGTTCTCGGTTTCACCCAGCATCAACTGGACACACACACACACACACACTCATTTTTTTTTTCATGAAAAATATTCAACTGTATTTCCTTATCAGTAGTCTTTTAGTTAAACTTAGTTTAAAACTGTACCAAATTAACTCAACAATATTTTATGATGAAAATGGTATCAAGTGGATTAGATTATCAAACAGGAAGCAAACCGGGTAGAACATAAAGGGTGCTGTTTGCTGTTTGGTCAAGCAATAAGGCTTAACCACAAGCGCAACCTACTGCCAGGGAAAGCAGGGAGCTTTTGTTCTACCCGCTCTTCTTCAGTGCCCGCAAAATAGGGCATGCAAATTCAAAATTTTGATGGAGATTTTGGTTTCTTTATCTTGTAAACCGATAGTATATAAAAATGTATACAGAGGATCACCTTAATTTGAAATTAATTTTTAAATTTAAGCTATTCTATCCTTTTGATAATTTTTTGTCTATGCTGGCTGCCAAACAAGAAATAGACACCAAAGTTTGCAAAAATGTTGAGTTTGCATGTCCTGCAGCTATGCTGTAGTAAACCATATGCAAAGACTTCAGTAGCATGGAAAGGTGTGAACTAAGTTACTTGCATTAAGAAGATTGAAATCAAATTTTGAATAAAGACATTTAAACTGTTCTCAACATTCCATTCTTAAAACTTAACTTCGTCCCCTCCCCCTTAGTTTCAAAACAAAAATCAAATATTTCAAACAAACCATGGCGAAGTTTTGATCACTAACCTCCAGGGCTGGTATGCTGCTTTCTAAATCCTCTAAAAGCAGTGCATCTGCTAGAAGCTCTTCCTCTGACTTTGATACTTGATTCTGGATGGTATCAAGAATTGTCTGGTCATCCAGGGTTGATTCAATTCCTGTGTAATTAATTATTGGATTAGATAACAATAACAAGTTCACTTAAAAGTTGCTCCTTTTCAAAGTGTAAGATTACCCAATAAATCCATTTTTCCCGATTGAGGTTGTTGTGATTCTCCACTGGTAACACTTGGGTCTGCCACAATACCCACATCACTTGTTCTTGCTTGAGGCTCTGAGGGACTTGCTTGAGGAAGAGAGGCTGGGCTTGATGGAGCTTTCACTACTCTCTTAATAATATCAGGAGCTGAAAACAGTAAATCAGCCCCAAATCCTTCAGAAAGGTGGGCAGGTGGTTTGCGATTCTCTCTCCTCGGATACTTCTTGGAGGATGCAGAACCAATGCCAACTGGAGACGACACTCCAACAGTTGTCAAGGAGGGTGTAGCAACAGCAGGTGCATCAATTGATGCAGGGGAATGTGTTGACGTAGAAGGTTGAGGCGATTCTTGGGAGGAAGTGGTTGACGGCGGCACAGCTGTAAGTTTTTTAATTGGTCGTTTCATCATACTATCATCTATTCCAGATTCAGGCGATGGTGAAACTGCAGCTGTATGAATTTTTTTGCTGTAAGTTCTCGGTGACTTTACTGGACTGAATGAAGTTTCCTCAGGTTTGTTTTTCATTAGTTTTATCTTAAGTTTCTTAATATGTGTTGGTGAATCTAATGGTGAGGTAGCCTAAAAATAAGTAAAAATAAATAAAATTTGCCAGAATTTTTCTTAACATCTAAAAATGCAGCAAAGCCAATTTACCTCCTCTTTTTCTGGAGATATCATAGCACTCAAGGCATCTTCCATGGCCTGATCCAATGGTTCCGGGTTGATTCTTAAACCACCTCGTCCACCCCGTGATAACAGACCTCTACCTCTGCCACCCCGTGCTCTTAAGCCACCGCGGCCCCTGATTCCACCTCGAGACTGTAATAACAAAAACATCTGTAACAAATTTTCACCAATCAAAATCACATGCGAGACAAAAATTGATGCCTTACTCTTGCAGCAACATATGTGATCCCCCCGCGTTTCACAATAGGTGACGGAATATTTTCAATAGCTGATGGGTAGGATGATAAAGATGCTGAGTCATTCTGAACCACCATGACTTTCTGCTGTGGAGGCTGGTGAACAACTTGTCCATCCTGACTGATGTGGAGGACATGCTGCTGCTGCTGTTGCTGTTGCTGCTGCTGAATCTGACCATTTTCAAATCCAGAAACTGTAATAATAAAACAAACACATTAACTCAATTTTAATTCATTTGACTGCACACATGGTTTCCCACAACATACAGTGCAAATAGAAAGTGAGGATCAGCTCTTTTTACAGCTGTTAATACTGTGAAGCAGATTAGTTAACACTGTTGCTGTTTGCTGCTGTTTGATATCACACAAGGGTTTTAAGCTATAATAGAACAGAGTAGACAAGAAGAATAGGTAGAAGCTGAGGGCTAGGAGACAAATTTCCCAGCTTTGCTGACCTGTTGGGGGATGTGCATTTAGCGGTGTCAACCGAGTCAGGACCACTCCACTTCCAGGAACACCAGTTGCAGATTGCACCAAAACTGTTACCAAAATGATTAGTTTAGATTCAATTGAATCACGGCAAAATTAGTCCTCAGGCACTAACATGTACCAAAAACAGGACCACAATATCTAAGAGTCGTCACCATATTAACTACATCATGAACAGGACTATAATGAGGTCACACCCCTTGGTCAAGAAGAACTTCTGATTTAACTACGCTAGGCAGTTCTTTGCTGATTATAATAGAAGAAAATTAGAATGAAATGATAGGTTACCTTTCACTTGCCCCTTGTTTTGGGGTAGACTTGACTGTGGAGAGCTCAACTTCAGGCTGTTTGAAGAACTCACAATATGCTGTTGACAGAAAGATAACATGACGTTACACATAGTATTCTTGAAATTTCATTTTATAATAGAAACTTAAAGAACACAAAATTTTGTTATCATAGAAAATAAATAATAACTTTTTGAAAAAAGAAAACTGATTAATAATACATCAGTTAATGAAAAAAAAAATAATACAGGACAGAAAAAATGAAGGTTTTAATAAAATTCAGAAATCTTACTGAAATGTGTACTTTTCTTAAATCAAGTGCGACACCAGTAAATAAACCAGGAAATAATTACAGGCATGTGGGGAAAGTAAACTTTTTGAAGAGTATAGATAACTAACAAAATATTCATACATAGCCAACATTAAATGGATAAGGCCTTAACTCCTCTCCTGCCACATGCAATATTAGATTGAGGCTCGGGAAGAAATAACATTTAGTCCAGTACCAGCTCTTTTAAGTAACCACATTGAGTAAAATCAAACAGGCATAAGAAAATCATGGCAAAAACAAAAAACAAAAAAAAAAACAAAACTGAGTACTATGGTTTTTGATAAAAGAAAAAAAAAAGGAGTCAAACAAAACAATTCAGCAAATTGACAAATATTGCTTGAAATAGTGGTCTGTTAAATACCAATTTCCCAATAAAGAAGAAAAACATAAACTGTTAAATATGACTAAAAACAGGGGAAAAGGCCAATAAATGAGTTTGTGCTTTTCAGAGATGCAAGGATAGGTAAGGAATCAAGTTTAGGGTCCAAACACCATGAAGAGCAGGGAAAATTTGCAAGATTACTGATACCATCACTGAGTAAGTGCAAGATAAGTTGTAGAAGAAATATTTCAACAAACAAGCCTGATAAAAATAAACGATGATTAGTTTAAAAAATATACACATACAAAAATTTATTGAAAGTAAAAATATTACTGGGAGCTAAGCAGACGTAAAATTTAACTGTAGTGCACTGGAAAGCATGTGTAGATATTATTTGGCTATTAGTTCTGTTATATTAAGCCAAAACAGACAGACTAAAGCTGACGAATAGCATGGAGATATCTACCTTTCAATAGAATGATTAAACCTACTAACTACACACACAGTTAAGAACAAACAAGTGCAAAAAGGAGTTGAATTGTTCTACATTCATTGCAAAATCTAATAAAAATCCACAAAGCTGTGCTTGAAGTAGCACAACATTCCAAATTACATCAAAATGAAAAAAATACAGGAAGATTAAGACAGAAAAATCGACTGTAGTGATAACAATGAATTGTTGGGGATGTTGGGATGTGAGTACAACCTGAAAGTTAAATGGTGAATGAGCAAATAGTCACACACTTCATCATAGGGATAAGGTCTAATGAAAAGCTAGCTCAATAACAAAAGCACAAACATACTAAAACTAAATTAAGATGTGGGAATTAGGCGAGCGAGTTGAGTATGAAAGGGGGAGCTTCATTGATCTTAGAGCACGGTTGTCAGAAATAACTTTGTTTATGTTTTTCTCCTCAGCATTGTTTCTATTAATTTCACATGTCAGAAAAAAAAAAGTGGGTTCAACCCCCCTCCCTATGTAAAATATGATCTACTCTTTCAATAGCTGATGTTGAATATATCTGCTTCTCTGCCAAGGGAATAGTGATGCACTTAAAATTTACATTAGTGTGGGTTGTATCAACAAGCTTCACAGTGAGCTTTGCCAACACCTTCAGATCACAGTGAGTGAGAATTTTCACAACTGACACAGAGGCAGGAGTACTTGGAGGAGGCTTTAATAAATTGAATGTTGACATGTGCTTTCCCGACACCGTGACATTCTTCCCCCCCCTGCTCATTTCCCTTCTCGCTACCTGCTTCAGCACCAGTGGTTTTACCAGCGGAACCAGAGTCGCCGATGCCGGGCTATTGGGTGGAGGTTTCAAAACGAGATGCTGCAAAGTTGTTGCACTTGTCTCCAATGAATCATTGGAAACAACAACACTGCGTCTGCCACTAAGATCCTGCTTTTTGCCACCGCGCAAGGTGCGGAACTGAAACAAAATTATAATAAAAGTGATTCTTGTAGGGGCTTGAACTGACTGTCTAGTTTCAAAAGAGTGAAGACCTACCTTGAGCTTCCCTCGTGTAGCTCCATCTTGACGAAACACAGGACAGTTTTCCAAACCATCTGGCTCTTCCAATTGAGCCTGAAGGTCAGCCTTCAAATCTCCCACAGATAATTGAAGGATCTGCCGGTTACTTAACTTGTTTGTGTAACAATGATCTATGTGAATGGCATCCGAAGCAGGATCTACTATATTTAAAGAACTGATATCAATATCATCTTCTTCATCATCACCTGAAAATAAAACTTTGTCATATTATCACATTTTGATGAAAAATAAAAACATTCACTCAAAATAAAACAAGTACCATTTGTTAAACAATCAATAAGATCTTGGGAGGTGGCAGCAGATGGCGAGTAGAATCCCTCCACGGTCAAATTCACCTGACTAACATCTCCAATATCTGAGTCAATCCCAGAGTCTCTTGGTATTGGCTTCCCAACCCTGACAACACTAACTGTAGCATCTTGTTTGTTCTCTGAGGGAAGAAAAAGGGTTGTGAATAAATTAAATGGAAAAACAGGAACAAACAGGTCAATGGAATCAAACTTAGGTGTTGAAAATTTTAGGGTGAGAAAACGTAATAGATGCATTGTGTCTTTGATACGACAGAACTTACCAAGCACGGATTTAAGCACTTGTGGATCAACAGTAACAGTTCCATCACTATTTATCAGAACAATTAGAGCATTGTCAGGGTTTTTGTCCTCCACACTATCTAAAACAAGTGTGCTTGCCATGTTGCTCTGATACCTAACATTTCAAGCAAAAGAAACAAAACAAAGATGAAAAAATGACCAGCAGGATAAGTTGACAAAGTTGACAAAGTAATTTAAGACTCTAAAACAGTATTCATAAGAGGAATAGAAACAAATTGAAACAAAGTTTAAAAACAATATTCTCAGAAGTAAATATAGAAAATTGAAGGGTTATGTATAATTACTGCACAAAATTTTGAAGGGTGATAAGACACTATTCAAAATTGTGGCGTGATTTTCAGGTGCACACGAAAGAGGTAACACAAAAGTGCCCTACCATCAACATGAAAAGATGTGTACACAAACAAGAATGCATCAACTACTGTACAAAACCCGGGGAGTGCGAAGAGGGGTTCATTACCTTCTGTCGATATCTGAATGAATAAAATCTAATTATTCAAAATTTCGAAAGAGATTGAAAGAGAAGTACTCTGCAGAGAGTGGCAGAGAGAGAGCCGAGATGCAGGCACAGTTAAGCAAAACACAAATAAGTATGCATGGTGGAGCCATCTTGGTTACCAGCGAGCCTGTCGGGTCCCTAGCACCCTGATAACGACGGAGAACACACTTACTGAGCTACAATTAATAGTTAAAAAGTTCCGGAGACATATTAGCGGCTTTTAAATGTTACGTAGAAGGCAAAGTTTTGCTTTGATGAGGTACAATTCTTTAAAAACTGCGCAACATCAACATTCTTTGAGCCATCACTGTTTTGCTGAGCAAAGGCGTGTTCCACAACACGTCGCAATACAGACGCACCGCAAAGCATGGCAGCAGCATGGCACTGGCACTCTAGTGATTACCTGTGTCTAAAGTAGCCTAGTTATTGCTGGAGGAACTAAACACTCAACTGGAAGAAACACTTCTCTAAGTTTGGAATAGTGTTTATCGTTTAAAAAGATAAGTTGTCCATCGTTAGTAAACTTCGGTTTGAGGTAGTGACCATCGCCGACCAGGTCTCTTCCCTCTTCCCCCTTCCCTTCCCTCCTTGTTTACATGTGTACATGTATTGCGATCAGTGCGGTGTTTAATAGCACGTGTTTAGGTTGTGAGTCCCATTGGGCTTGGACTTAAATCGAAATGCTGTGAAATTTGAAGAATCATACGGACTCCGTCGGTTCTGTTGAACTTAAGCAAAATGACTGGATCAGTGACTGGTGGCTTCTTAGAGGCGTTAAAATCGCTTTGTGAAAAAGACAAAACATGCAAGGAAGCATGCTTAAAGTTTATCCGTCTTCATGTTAGTATTTCTCATTGTCATGCCATTATACATATTTCAATCGACCTACTGTAATAACATACATGTTTGGAACTTTCGTTGTTGTTGGCATCTCAGTCAATTGTTAATTAGCGAATTGTTGCATATGGCGTTGTAGGTTAGACGTAACGAATATTGCTGTTTTTTAATTGTTTTCGTATTAACATATTCTTTTGTAAATCCCTCAGACTCTCCAAGATAGCGATTTTAATGAGTTACTCAATGTATTGGCCAGTCTTCTTCTTAGCCATAGCCAAACATTAATCATAGGAGAACATTTAAGAGATGTCCTCCCTCAAATTCTTGCCGTAGCTCTTTGCGATGATATGGAAGATTCACCCCACCTCATAGATGTCAGTCCCAAACTATTACATGAGAAACGTTGCGTTACTCTCAGTAAACTTGCACCTATACACCCTGATGTGCTTACGTAAGTTTGACATCAAGTTCAGATGGTCCATCTTGAATTCTAACTTGAATTCTAATTTGACTCTTGCATTTACATCCTGTTTTTAAAGGTTTATTTTGAAGTATTTCTGTGACAAGCCCTCTCCTTTTCATTATTGGAGAGTGTCAGCTGCAGATGAGGAACCAAAGGCCAAAAAGAGAAGGATATACTCAACCCCTGTCACTGATGAAGAAATTGCTGGATGCTGTTATTTTTTTCTTAAATTGAAAACTGACTACTTTAAAAAGTTGTGGGACTGGTCACACTTTCTAAAAGGCTTTTTAAACCATGAGGAACCATATGTTAGATGGTATGTAATCTCATCTTATCCAATATACTTATCAAAAATCTGGCATGATCATAACTATTTTTTTATTATTCAGGCTTGCTACTCAGTGTTGTGCTTTGCTTTTACAAATGGGAAACCAAGAGAAGGAAAAGTTACTTAATTCCAAATTGACCCCTGATGAAATTGTTTGTTTTGCGGTGAAGCAAGGTGCTGAAGATAAAAGAATCCAGGACAGTTGGACCAAAGCATGTAAGTCCTATATTAGCTGAAAAATTCAAACTTGAGATAAACTAATCTCTCATACATAGTTAACTTCATTTCTTAGGTTTTGATGAAACTTCTCCATGTAATGGTTCCCTGCCAGAGTCCCAAAATAAATCAGTTATTAATGTTGCTGGAATAAGTCTTCCGTTAATGTTCGAGGTAATTATTTCTCTATCATATTCTGTAGTTTGCGTTGGTTTTTGTTTTCAGCTTTCATAAACTGTTTACTTTGTCCTTAAGGTTGCAGCTAATTCAAAACCAAGTTTAGTTTTAGTTAATTCAACCAAAAGCAATTTGCAATCTGTAGCTTTGGGTATAGCTACAAGAAAGACTTTATGCCTTCAAGGTCCTGTAGGATGTGGCAAGACGGCCCTGGTACAGTATTTAGCCAAGTTGACTGGTCGCTGCTCTCCCCCTCATTACCTTTCAGTACAACTTGGCGACCAAACTGACAGTAAAATGTTGCTTGGCACGTATCAGTGTACTGACATTCCAGGAGAATTTGTCTGGAAACCTGGTGTTTTGACTCAGGCATGGAGATTATTTCTTTTCCCTCTTCCTCTCAGTTATGTGTAACTTTCTTTTTCTAAGGTTTATTTCAATTTTCAGGCTGTTATCGGAGGCTATTGGCTTCTTTTGGAGGATATTGATAGTTGTGCCACAGATGTTGCAGCAGTGCTCTCTTCACTGTTGGAAACAGGATCACTTAGTGTTCCAGGTTTTAAGGATTCTGTCCATGCAGCCCCTGGCTTTCAACTCTTTTTCACTCAGAGGTAAGGCAATTTCTAATAAATTTCCAGTAAACTTGTTTGTATTTACTTCCATTAAATTTATGTCCATGTCCTAAAAAAATCTTAATTATGTATCATATATTTATCTAATCTGTTCCAGGCTGGTGGCTGGTGCAACTGGACTGCACAAGCTTAACTCTGGAGTGGCAAGCATGCTTCAGAGACATTGGCTCACTGTACAAATGGAGCCTTTGTCGGAATCAGAACTTGTGGAAGTAGTTAGAACTTTGCATCCTTCCCTCTACACTGTGGCTCCACGAATGGTGAATGTTTTTCTGATTTTTTCTGCTGGGAGTCATCACACAGCTATGAGCGGGAACAATGAAAATATGGATTCAAGTAAAAATGTCCATATTCAAAGTGCAGGTGCAAGATTACCTTCTACTCGAGATCTTATGAAGTGGTGCACCAGATCAAGTCAAGCTTTTGACGTAAGCTCTTTAGAGTCGGGATTAAAACTGTATCAAGATGCTGTTGACATATTTTGCTGCAATGTCAGCCATCCTGGTATGTCAACAAAATGTTGGGAACTACTCTCAAACTCCCTCATTCCATACAGTAATAAATTTTCAACTCATTTTTAATTACAGACACTAGGCTCAAGCTGGCAGAAAGTATTGCAGCAAAACTTGGCATTATACATACAAAAGCAGAGTACTTTTGTAATGTACACAAACCAGTAATTTCTTTGACTTCAACTCATGTTGTTGCTGGACGGATAAGTTTACCACGCAGAGAACATAGTACAGCTATGCCTAGATTTACTTCAAAGTCAACCTTTTCATTTACCCGCCCCACAGCAGCTCTCCTGGAACGGGTAGCCAGCTGTATTCACCATAATGAACCAGTGTTGTTGGTTGGTGAAACTGGAGTTGGCAAAACTTCAAGCATTCAATATCTTGCTGAAAAAATGGGCCAATCATTATCTGTGATTAATATGAATCAGCAGTCTGACAGTGCAGATCTTCTTGGAGGATTTAAGCCAGTTGAATTGAAGTTTGTGATATCACCATTGAGGGATGAATTTGAGACACTATTCCGAGGCTTTTTTGCTGTGGATGAAAATACAAAATTTTTAAGTCATATCGCCCATTGTTTTTCTCTCAAGAAGTGGTCTACCCTTTTAACTTTGATGAAACACAGTACAGCCGCTGCACTGAAAAGATTTGAAAAGAAAAGGGCCAATGCTAAAAGTTCTCAATTGAACTCAAAATCGGAGGCCCTTGATCCTCTCCTCAAGAGGAACTGGCTACAGCTTTCTCTCAAATTGCATAAGGTTGAAGAGCAGTTGAAGAAGTCCCAGAATGCTCTTGCATTTTCATTTGTAGAAGGCAGCCTTGTCAAAGCTTTACAAGAAGGTTCATAATGTTTGTTTTTTTTAGAACTAATTCTTTCTCATCTTGGACCATGTATCAATTATCTTCAATGATTTTTTTCTTAGGTAAATGGGTACTTCTTGATGAAATAAATTTGGCTAGTGCTCAAACACTTGAATGCCTTTCAAGTCTTCTTGAAGGTTCATCTGGATCTCTGTACTTACTGGAACGTGGAGATGACCAGTCAATCAACAGACATCCAGATTTCAGAATATTTGCTGCTATGAATCCAGCCACAGACGTTGGTAAAAGGGAGTTGCCTCCTGGTATTCGAAACAGGTAAAATGTAGGACCAGGACCTCTTTTGTTACTTATTTTGCTTTATGTTTCTAATGAAAAGTATTACAGATTTACAGAGTTTTTTGTTGATGAACTTGTTAATCGTCAAGACCTTCTACTACTGTGTGGTTCATATCTTGAACCCCTTGCGCTACCAGCAACAAAGCTCGATGCTATTGTTCGTTTTTATCTATCTATTTGTCAAGAGGCTGTTACTAGTCTGTCAGATGGCACAGGACAGAAACCTCACTATAGTCTTAGAACATTATGTCGTGCCTTATCAGTTGCTGCAACAAATCCTTGTGCATCAGTTCCTCGATCTCTATATGAAGGAATTTTACTGAGCTTTCTTACTCAGTTAGATCGTGGATCACATCCCATTGTAGAAGAAATGGTAGCAAAGTAAGGAATATGTTCTTAGTGATGATATTACCAGTATCTGTAATACCCAAAACAAAGAGGCGTTAAAAGAAGTAAATAAGAATTTTATAGCCGGCATCTTTCGAATTTTGCTGCAGTGTTCACTCTAATGCAACCACTCAGTCAACTAATTGTTTATGATCACTTTAACAAGAATTGTTAAATTTTTTTATTCCTCAACGATATTTTTATGAAGACACTTTTACTCTTGCAGTATGCAATATGTGCGGGTAAAAAGTTAACGAAACCTTGGATATTTGTAATGGAAGTCAAACTTTGGGATTTTGTGGCAACTCTGAATTTCATCACTTTCGGTTTAAAGGTAAAGCCTACAGCCTTCCACTTATTTATTGTTATTTTCTTTTTTTTAGGGCTGTCATGGGGAAGACTTCCTCAGACCCGAAGAGTTTAATGAAACAACCTATTCCCACTCCTGTTGTGCCGGGAAATAACTTTATTGAAGTGGAGGGATACTGGGTTACTCAAGGATCTCTTGAACCAAACACTCCAGAAAAGGTACACTGATGTTATGTCTCATCTATTGCATTTGGTTTTGGTCCAAAATGTTTTTGAGACTCACTTGGAGACTCCACTTTGAACTCAATCATTTGTCTAAATCTTATTGTGATTTTTGGTGTACCTATCTTTTTTAGTACATCATGACAAAGACTGTTCGTCGAAATCTCCATGATTTGGTTCGTGTTGTCTCTTTGGCGAGACTTCCTATCCTCCTGCAGGGTGAAACATCAGTAGGCAAGACAAGTCTTATCACTTACTTGGCTCAAGTGTCTGGTAATCGTTGTCTTCGCATTAATAATCATGAGCACACAGATCTTCAAGAATACATTGGGTGTTATGCAGCAGATGATCATGGAAATCTAGTATTCAAAGAGGGTGTGTTTTTCTTGTTTATCCTACTTCAATTTCCTTGTCTTCAATCAAAACTAGTTAAAAAAGTGATTGTCATCCTTTTATTTGCCTGTCAGGTGTTCTTGTAGAGGCAATGAAATATGGGCACTGGGTCATTTTAGATGAACTCAACTTAGCTCCTAGTGATGTGCTAGAAGCTCTCAATAGAGTTCTAGATGACAACCGAGAGTTGTTTATTCCTGAAACCCAAAAAGTTGTCAAAGCCCACCCAAATTTCATGCTATTTGCTACTCAAAATCCTCCTGGATTGTATGGTGGTAGAAAGGTACTTATTGACCATTGCTGAATTCAAAAGTATCTATCATGTATTATTTCATCTAAACATATCTATCTTATCAAATTTTGCAGGTTTTATCTCGGGCTTTTCGTAACCGTTTTATTGAATTACATTTTGATGAAATCCCATCCATGGAGTTAGAAACAATTATGCATCTGAGGTGTGATATGCCACCATCGTACTGTAAAAAGATGGTTGCAGTAATGTCTGATCTACAGGTACTCTATTTATTGCTTAACCACTTTAGCTTTACCCTCCGCACTTCATAATCCAAATTTACATATATTGTTTTGTTTTTCTATTTAATAGGTTCGTCGAAAAGGAAGCGCAGCATTCGCTGGCAAACAAGGTTTCATTACCCTAAGAGATTTGTTTCGATGGGGTGAGAGGTATCGTCTCTCACAGGAAGGCAAAGAAGGGAAATACTATGATTGGGATCAACACATTGCTGATGAAGGTACCTAGGTCTTATTCAAACCTAGTTTTTGAAGCATATTCACATAATTTCAATTTCCGTGTCTGATCTTTTAGGATATCTCATTCTTGCTGGACGAGTTAGAAAAGAAGAGGAATGTGTGATAATCCAAGAGACCCTTCTAAAACATATCAAACGTGCTGTGAATCCTGATAGGCTTTTCACATGTGTGTAACTTCTAAATTGAATATGTTTCATATAATTTTTTCAAGTAGAGGTTACCAACATATTTTCTCTGGTTACAGTGAGTGCTGAAACATCTCCTGTGACAAAAGCTATTTTAGAATCAATTGTACAGCAAACTCCCCAGGGATTTAACCATATAGTGTGGACATACAATATGAGAAAACTTGCTGTCCTTCTTGGTATGTTATCACAACTAAAAAAATGTATTGTAACATCTATAAGGTTCACACATTTTGTCTTTTAACATAAGTATAATGTATCTATGCACCCTTTAGGAAAGGCGTGTGAGTTCAAGGAGCCTATTTTGCTTGTTGGGGAAACTGGGTGTGGGAAAACAACTTTGTGCCAACTTCTAGCTGCTAGTAAAGATCAGAAATTGTCTTCTGTCAACTGCCATATGCACTCAGAGAGTGCAGATTTCCTTGGAGGACTACGTCCCATTCGAGAACACTCAGAGGTAGGTTAACTGTCAGAAAAGATATCAGTAACTTTTATAACATTTACGAGTATTCACTTTGATTGAATCTTTTTCTTTGTCTAGGATAATAAAGGCAAACTGTTTGAATGGGTTGATGGTCCACTGATTGACGCCATGCTTCATGGAGAGGTGTTTCTTGCTGATGAAATCTCATTGGCAGATGACAGTGTATTAGAGAGACTAAATTCCTTGCTTGGTAAGGATAAATTTGAAATTTCTATTGTAAACCATTTTCCCTTTTAGTTAGAAATCTATGTTATTTTGTGAAATAAATTTTATGCGCATGTTTCAGAACCTGAGCGGAAACTGCTACTTGCTGAGAAAGGTAGTGGTATCAGTGGTGAGCCATGTGAAGTCATTGCGAAAGATGGCTTCATCTTTGTAGGAACTATGAATCCTGGTGGTGATTATGGAAAGAAGGAATTGTCTCCTGCCTTGCGAAATCGTTTCACTGAGATTTGGTGTGAGGGTTGTTCACAGCGGTCGGATCTGATTGCTGTCATAGAACACAATGTAAGACCTGAACTAGTATTCAAAAAATCTACCAATGATATAGTAAGTGTTGGAGCAACACTTGTTGATTTTCTTGAATGGTTTTCACAAACTGAGCTAGGAAGCAGGTAAGCTAGAAGTGTTATTTTTATTGTTTGTTTTTCTCCCCTACCATTTATACATTGTGCTTTTGAAAAGGTTCTATTCACATATTTTTATTTGTTCTCCAGGTTTGCTAAAAGTATCAGAGATATCATGACATGGGTTGAATTCATTAATGTATCCACACAACCAGATATCAATCTAGAGTTAAGTGATGCCTACATCCATGGAGCTTGCCTTACATTCCTAGACAGCTTGGGAACAGGATTGACAAGTTTCTCTACAAAAGAAGCAGTATATGGTTTAAGGATCGCTGCTCTTCAATTTTTAAGAGACCAGGTCCAAAAAGCCACTGACTGTAAACCTTTCAGTTTAAAACCATTCATGGGTATGGATTCAGATGATTTTGAGCTTTTATCAACCACTGAGAAGTTTGGTGTAAAGCCATTCTGCATATCTAAGGGAAATGCTGACTCAGTAGAAAGTGCTGAATTTTTACTCTCTGCGCCAACCACCCGTATCAATGCCATGAGGGTCCTTCGTGGTCTTCAGCTTGGCAAAGCACTTCTGTTGGAGGGAAGCCCAGGAGTTGGTAAAACAAGCCTGGTTACAGCTTTGTCTCGTGCTGCTGGCTACAAACTGACAAGAATTAATTTGTCTGACCAAACAGACATATCTGATTTATTTGGCGCTGATTTGCCTGTTGAAGGAGGATCTGGTGGAGAGTTTGCCTGGCGTGATGGGCCATTCCTTCAGGCACTTCGTGCTGGTCATTGGATCCTACTTGATGAATTAAATTTGGCTTCTCAGTCAGTTTTGGAAGGATTAAATGCTGTACTTGACCATAGAGGTGACTTGTTCATACCAGAACTGGGGCGTACATTCCACATTCAATCTGGACAGACTCGTTTGTTTGCATGTCAGAACCCTCTTAATCAAGGAGGTGCTCGGAAAGGTCTCCCACAGTCATTTTTGAATCGATTTACACAAGTTCACATGGAAACCTTGACGTCAGATGACCTGGAATACATTTGTCAGGCTCTGTTTCCGTCATTACCTCATGAACTTATAAAGAATATGGTAATTTTCAATGAAAAAGCAGCATTTGAGACTGGCCCTGGTGGAAAATGGGGACAGCGAGGTGGCCCGTGGGAGATGAACTTAAGAGATTTAAGCAGGTGGTGTGAAGTTACTGTGTGGGGTTCTTCATCCGGTGCACTCAATCCGGGAAGATTTGTCCAGCTTATATATGTAGATCGCATGCGTACCAAAGGAGACAAGGAGAGTATGATGGCTCTTTATCAGCGGTTGTTCCCTGACAAGTATCCACTTTCTTGCACTGTTCCTCAAATTCTTGTGACTCCAAAAACATTGTATCTTGGAGATACAACATTAGAAAGAGGCAGTCTTGAAAACATTGCTGTATCTAAACTTGTTTTGAGGTATCAGCTGTCAACTTTATTGTCCTTGGCAAGGTGTGTATCCATGGGATGGATGTCTATACTAGTAGGCCCGAGTGGTTGTGGTAAAACAAGTTTGGTTCACCTTCTTGCTCAAGTAGCAGGTCAAGAACTCAGAACACTCTCAGTTAACTCTGCCATGGACACCACTGAAATACTTGGAGGATTTGAGCAAGCTGATTACAAGCGTCATTTAGATGAATTAATTGTTAAAGTTCAGAGAATTATGACCAAGGGCTTACAATGTACAACTTTGCAAGGAGAAGAAAATGAATTGACTCACCTTATGGGTCTATGGGAGTCTTTCATACATTCTGAAAACACTGACTCAAATGATAAGTTCAAGTCTGTTGAGTCAGAGGTTCAAACATTTGTTAATAAAATTCAAATGCTTCTTGAAGTTTTACTTGCAATACCAAGAGTTGTCATTTCATCAGAAGATGTAGTTGAAGTAAACTGCATTCAAGACAAACTGGCTTACCTCAAGAATTGTGCTCTTCGTGACAAAAGTCTGAATGCTGGAGGAAAGTTTGAATGGGTGGATAGTATTCTTATCAAAAGTTTGACTGAAGGAAGCTGGCTTTTAGTTGATAATGTAAACCTCTGTAGTGCTGCAGTACTTGACAGGCTTAATGGTCTCCTTGAGCCACATGGCGTTTTAACTATAAGTGAGAGGGGAGTAAATATGAATGGTGACCTCATCACAATCCAGCCTCATCAAAACTTTCGTCTTTTTTTAACAATGGATCCGAAGTATGGTGAGATTTCTAGGTAGGTAATTGGTTTTGTTTTAGGTGTTTCATTGTAATTCAATGTTGTTTGTGTAACATTACGCTACATTACCCTATTTGTTTCTGGTTGTATTTGTAGGGCCATGCGGAACAGAGGAGTAGAGATTTTTGTGACCACATCAGAGGGGGATATGACTACTTCTCTGAGTCCATTAGATCTTGCTGCCCTTCTTCATGGTACCGGAGTTCACAGTCAACATGATCAGCGGCTGTTTATCAATTTGCACCAATCAATGACAAGTATAATTCAAGGTAATCTTAAGTTGCAAACGCAAATATTATTGCAGATTTATTCAGTTTCAATGAATATGCCATATTTCATGTCTGTTTACATTATCTAGGCCCAGATACACCAGGACTGCCAGAGCTACTAAATGCTTCGTTTTTGTTTGTTCAACAAGTTGAACGAGGAATGGCTCCTATACCTTCACTGCTTTCCTCATTTATCAAAGTTTACATTCAGTCTCGTTTGTGTGACAGTGTTCAAACCAAACGTCGCTATCTTTCTATTCTTGAGGAAGCCATTGCACAAAGGTCACAAGAAAATATTCCTCTTGCTCTTGATAAACTAGTCTCAGACTGTACCCTGTTGACCAATGAGATACAACTAGATCCATCACTGGCCACAGTTAAGCAGAGGAGTGCTGTATTATCAGCTCTTGCTGATATTGAAGAGAAGGATTTGTCATATGTATTAGGTCTATTGGGTGTGACTGATATGATGGTGAGATTAATTCCAATTTTCAAGCCTCTGCTGTGCCTAAATTTTAAAATTCTATTTTATGGTCTTTTGTTTCTCTGTTCTAGGTGGACTTTAAAATGACCCTTACAAATATTGTTGTTTTATTTTATCAAACATGCTCGGTTACTGATGTCAGTTTAGCTTATAATTGGCTTAAAATGCTGATCAAAGGATCGAGGCATGAGAGTTTTCTTAGTGAACTGTCAGAAATTTTGTACAGTACAATACTAAGTGTTGATGATCTGGCTACATGTCACTTGATCTGGGACAGAAGGTGGCTACCAGATGTTGCTTCTGCCTTATCAGTATTGAGTGGAGTAGATGACCATGGTGTGGAGAACAGAGTTGCCTTGCTTCTGTACATTACTGCTGAGCTCGTAAGAAGCAAAATTACATTAAATCTAACAGGTGTCAAGAAACATAAACAAATATCTGTTCTTGAATACTCTCATGCCATATCAAAAGGTACAAAGTTATGGACAAAAGCTTCCAGTTCAGATTATTTAAAATTCAGTTCTAAGATTTTATTTTGTGGCATGTTATAATTACAGGCATATTAGCTGACAGCTTAGCTTCCGAGCCTATAATTGTTGAAGTTGGACCATTTTTGGACACAGCATTAAATATTCTACACAATGCGTTGAGCACTCTTGGTGTTGTTATCAGTGATGAGCTATGGTGGTTAGTGCGAAGGGCATTCAGTTGGACACAAAGATTTCAGAAGAAAATTGCCTCTCTTCAACTCAATACTGACAAAAATGCAACAGATGAAACTCTCAATCTCATAGCAGTCCATTATAAGTGGTTTTCTAAGTACACAATGCCAGTACTAATCCATCTAGCACACTCAGCTGCTCTGTAAGTACTTGTAGCTGTTGACAGTAAATTAATTTTGATGCCGCTTTTCATTGTAATAATTTCATTCTCAGCGATGTTACTCAGTTCAATGAAACAACAGAAAGAATGGATGCCTCAGTGTTTTCTAACAGTTGTATAATATGGTATGTTGCAAAAAGACTTCGTAATGCTTTGCAACACCCTCTTCCTATTGCCTCTGATTTTCAGGCTAAACTGTCTTTAAAGGCTTCACAGTAAGTTTCAACCACTTTCCAACACATCCTTATCAGTTCCACAAAGAAATTCCAATTTTGACTCTTCTTTTTCCTTCTAGCATTTGTGATGTAATCGACTTGTGGGGTAGAGAACCACTAAATGAAAATTTATTGGATGTAGTTAATTTCCTTTCAACTCCTGAAGGACTCAGTGCAAGAGCACATTTGATAGTTGCCCTGAAAGACTTATCATTGAACTTAAATCTCATTAAAGGTATAGCATTACTCTTTAAATAAAATCTTTATTTGTAACAACTTTTGCTTTGGTACTAAAAAAAACAAAACAATTTCTTCTTCAACAGTGGAAGAAAGACTTGCACAAGCAGAAAATATATGCTTCCAAGCTGGCCTTACAAATGACTGTGTGAATAGAGAGACAGAACCAAAACCTCAGAGGAACTTAAAGACTCTACTCTGGCCTTTCCAGGAGGCTGTGTGTCTAAATGCAATCAGTCCCTTGCTACTGAAGCTATTAAAAGGACTGGATCTTTCATCAAGTTCCCTTGAGTTTCACACACTCATCCAAGCTATGAAGGAAACTCCATCAATACCTCCATCTGTCATAGGATTGTTAGAGACCTCATTGAAAGAAAGTAAAATCCAAACAGATTTATTTAAAATAATCTTCTGGGTTTTTCGTTTTTCTAACAAATCCCTTGCTGTGTCAAATTGTCATATTTGGGCTCCTTGTGAAATGAAGTTTCCAAGTGACATTGAAAAGTCAACGGTAAAAACGAATCCTTTTTTAAACCTTTGCATATATTTTTTACCTACTTCCTAATTCATTTTATTCTTAAACATATTTAGTTGGTTTCCACTTAATTTGTTTCTTGCTTTTAGGAGCCTCTACCCCAGCACTGTCCTATGCTCTCCCAATTAGCAGCCAATCTTCTATTTTCCCAATGTCCATCAAGCAAAGAACACCTTGTAATGCCATCACTGGATCAGCACAAGCAACATATACTGCTGTTGAACAGTTTGCAGACTTTGCTCTGGCAGAATTATGATAATTTCAGTAATCCTTATTATTCTTTCAGGTGTGTATTAAACTTAGATTCATATAATATTTTCTATCTGTGATACTGTACATGTTTATTTGAATCACTGTTTTATACTTCTATTGCAGAGAAAATGAATTACAGTCTGCAAAATCTGCAGGCTACCATTTTCTCTCAAAGTTAGAGGAAAGCTGCTGTTTGGTGCATCCTGTATCATTAAACTTACAAGAAAGAGCTTCTGCTATAATTGAAGATTTGCAATATAAACTTGGTGGTAGAGCTTCCACCTTATCTGATTTCTGTCTCTTACTGTCAGAATTTGTCAATGTTATCAGCCTTTTAGAGGAATCAAAAACTGTTGAAAATGATATTTTGATGCAGGTATGTTAGCATTCTATTTAAAAAGTGGCTTTTGTAAAGATTATCTAAGTTTTTATGTCTTACCAATTAACTGATTGATTGGCTGTATTTGTAGGTTGGCTTGGCTTGGACTCTTTTGGGCTGTTTGGAGTCCCACTTATTCTCAGCATTCCCAAAAATTGATCCCACAGTGAAACATGCCATAAAAATACAATACACTAGAGAAGAGGTCAGTCGAATTAAGATGCCTCCTTGCTTTAAAGGATTTATTTTATTTCTTACTTAATATTCTTCTTAACTTCGTTTAGATAATGGAAATAAAAGCTGAACTACTTGCTGCTAAAATTACTGGTTCCGTGAAAGGTGTTGAAACAGATGGTGTACCTTCCCATCCACATCTTGAAATTCTTCAAAACCATCTGAATTTGTTAGAAAACCAACTAAGTACATTGAGCCATCAAATTGCTGTAAGACCACAGCCACCCATGTACTCTATTTTGACAAAGGTAATTCATAATCATGCAGTCCCATTAATAGAGTAATGCTCAAAATTGCAGCTGTTAATTAAACCCTCTAAAACCCCATTTTTTCCCTTTTAAGGAAATGCAACACTTTGCCAGCAGCCTAAGCTCAGTGCCCATTGTGATGAAAGTCACTAAACGTCTTCTGTCCATTTGCAAAACTATATCTCCTTCAGAATGTCAAATAATTGTGAAGGAGGCCCAGTTGTGGTTACGCTCTCTTCAAAGCTTTACAAATATGCTTGAAAAGAGATTTGGGACGTGGTACCCTGATATTGTTGGACCTCTTCTAACATCCAGTGCAAAGGCAAGTTAAAATCTAATGCAAGTACTTTATTTTCTTTTTTGTAAGCATAAGTGTACAGTTATTAATCGATCTTTTTTACAACAGCTGAATCGTGGTGTAGAGCTTATGGTTGGAGTGGGAAAGAAAATTTACCTAAATGGTCAAACTGGCCCACATCATAGCACTCTTAGCAAACTAGTTTGTTCTCTTGGAAGCTTCCCAGTCTTAGGTCCTGATCAAACATCTATTATGGATCTCTTATCAAACACTGCCAACAGACATTCATCACTCATTATTGAGCAAATGTTTCTTTCTCTTGTTGGAGATATTCCTGGCCTGTCAGAGAGATCACAGTCTGAGGCATATTGGTTAGCTTCTCTAATTTATCTGTACTATTTTGGAATATTTTCAACACTAGTTTGCTGACTTTTTTACTTTTTCAGGCTGCTGAAAAGTTCTATCCTAGAGTTAAAGAACTTCATTTTAATATCTCAATCATGCAAGACTGAGGAGTGGAATGCTTTAATCAAAGTTTTACGATCATTTACTCAAATTTGGGAGAAACAAGAGAACGAACGGCGTGAACGGGAGCTTGATAGTGAAAGTCTGTACAAGTCTCGAGGAGCTGTGAGATGTCAAACCGTTACTGAAGATGAAGAAGCACTTTATGAGATAGCTGAAATGTTCCCTTCTAAGAGGGAGAATGATTTTGGAGACCTAGAGCCCAACCAATCTTTGGAAGGACCTCCCCAATCAGTCAATCAAGAAAGCAATTCAAACCCATCAAGTGCATTGTTGAGTGCAGAAGATGTTTCCCTTGTTAGTTCTGTGCATATGTCACTAGTTCTAGCATACACCAAATCAACATGGTTTGACTGCTTTCCAGGCATGTCCTCAAACAATAGCACTGACTTTTTGACACCATGGCTGCAACGATTTGCTGTTGCAGCTCGTCTTATCTCCTCCTGCAGTTATATTCTAAATGATAATGTAGACAAGTGCCTTCTTCCAAGTTGGATTCTAGCTTCATACCTAGCTTCTCCAAAATGTAACTCTGTTGTCAGTGGCTCAAATGTTAGTCCTGATGATCCATCATTTGATTTTTATCGCACTCCTTGCATCAGTGAAGCACAACAATGTAAACCAGTTTTAGATGGGCTTCTTCAAAGAGTTAATGAGTTATTGAATGAATGGCCTGAGCATCCAACATTGAATCAAATTGTGGTTGTTGTCAATAGGATTACCTCTTTCCCTATGGAGAGCCCTCTTTCAAGATTTCTCACTGGTCTCGAGATATTGCTAAATAAAATACGTGAATGGGAGGAAAATGCTCATTCTGGAGTTAGCCTTGCTTGTCATTCAGCAGCTGTGACAAATTTAATTATTCAGTGGAGAAGATTGGAGCTTGCTGGCTGGAAAGGCTGTTTAAATTCTGCAAGTCTTCGCTTTGAAAGCAGGGCTCATCGATGGTGGTTTTACATTTTTACCTTAGTTGATGGCTACATAAATCCATCTGCTGGTAAAGAAGCTATGAGTGGAAAGGATATTGTATCATCACTTGAGCAATTCATGGAAGAGGCCCCTCTAGGGGAATTCCAAGTGAGACTCAATATGGTTTTAGCTTTCCATTGTCATGTGATAAATCTACCTGCATCTTCCCAAAGGGATGAGCTGCAGGCTGTCCTATGGAATCTGTTTGGTTTCTATTCTCAGTTCAAAGACATGGTAGTCTCTAAAATTGATGATCTAAAGTCTCCCATTGAAAAGAAACTCAAAGATTATGTGAAGATTGCCCGGTGGAATGATATCAATTATTGGGCTGTAAAAGATGCAGTCTTCAAGACCCAACGCACTTTGCACAAACATGTGAAGGAGTTTGAGACTGTACTGAAACAGCCTGCGAAATCAACTATGTATTCATGCCGTCTAGAAGGAAAGTCACAATCTAAAAAGTATGCTCATCTCAATGTTCAAGCTTTCATTGCGACTGCTGAAGCAAAGGTAAAGTCTGAACTGAGGTTGTAATTATTTTGTTTATCTAATTGATAAATTTATATTTTTGTTGCCATCATTTTGATTTTTTAGCAATTTATTGAGGACACATTAATTATGGATATTGATGCTGATCAATCATCTGTTCTAAAAAGAGCCAGTGCACTTTTTATTCGATCAAAAAAATTAACAAAAGAGGTCATCTTGTCTTCATCCTGCCCAGGACTTGTTGCTGCATTAAATGAATTTGCTAACGACATTGTTGCATCAGTTCAACAACTTGCTTCTCTAGAGGTGTTTTTCTATTAAAGTATTTGTCGTAGTTTACTTGAACTATGTTCAATTCCAATTTTATATTTAATCCATCTCTCTTTCAACTTTCAAGGTGGATAAAAATATTCCTAAACCAAAACAAGTATCTCAGGCTAAAAATCACCTGCAAATGAAGCGCCGAGCCTTAGCTGACCTGTTCCGATTGCTGCACCGTATTGGGTTGTCTTACCATTCAGGTTTGACGTATGAAGAGAGTTTATTAAAGCATGAATTCACGCAACTGCCTCCTTTAGATTTAAGTGTTTTCATGAAATCTCTGAGCTGTCCCAGAGAATCTCTAGATTGGTATGATGATGTTCCACAAAATAATTCTTTGCCCTTAGGTTACTTTCTATTCAAAAATATTTTATGATTCCTTTACAGTGCTGCTGACAAAGAAATTCTCAGTGCCTGGGATGGGTGTAGTTCATACTTCATGCGCTCGTGGGTGCGCTATGTTCAGTTGAGTATGGCTCTTCGTCATCCTCACAAGGATCTTAGTCCTCCAAACATTGAAAGGCTTCGAGGCTTCCCTGCTCATCTTATTGTAATTACATAGGATAATAACCTTTTGAGTTAATTGATTTTAGGTCCATGTCCTAATTCTTGCTAATCTTTCTGTCAGACTCTAACACATGACCAACACAGGCAAATCCATAAGAACATAAATCTCTTAGGCGAAGTAAGAATACATCTACATCAGCTGAAATCTCTTGTGAGCTTTCTTGATGTAGCAATACCACCTCAATCTGCTCTACTGGAATTGGATCAACGGCTTAAGTCAATAGTTGTTGCTTCTACAGTCACTTTACAACAATTTAAATTATTGCTTGAAGCTTGCCCAGGTGGAGAAGGAATTCAAAGCATCGAGGACAAGTATGTTGATATATACATTTAGATTTTAAATGAGGTTTAACTTCAGCGAACGTCTACTTTATTGTATTTCTTACCCTTTTCAGCATACCAGTCTTGGTGCATGGGCAGGAAACTCCCTCGTACTCTTTAGGCATGGTGAAAGGAGATATTGCATGGCAAAAAGCTAATGAAATGGCTGACAAAGCACTGCTCCTGCTCAGTGGCTGCCAGAAAAATATACTTGCTGTACAGTGGTCACAAACACTTTTTACTGTTGAAGATTTTAAGAAAATGTCTCAGTCCTTCAGTAATCTGACCTTATTGACTGGAAATATCTCAAACATTGAAAACATCCTACTTACCAACACATCCTCTCATCCATGCATTCAAAGCCTCCAATGGATTAAGGGTTGCATACTCATTGAATGCCAGAAATTTTCAGAAATATGTAACTTGGACTGCAAGACAGGTTGTTCAACTCCTACTGTTTTATCAGATTGTGATTTGGCAATGAAAGTTAATGGTCTGATGCAGAGTATGTTATTAAGCATACAGAAATTATACAAATGTCACACTAATACAGATGGACAAGCAATTGATCAAAACTCTAATCCTGAGGTGGTAGTGACAGAGAGTACAGAAGAGGTATAATTTCTTAGTGGCACATTATCTTGACCAAAAAGAGGTATTGTTTGTTTCTAATTGATTTTGATATTTTGATTTCGGCTAAGGTGGAAGAAGAAGAGGAGCCTAATCTCCAAGAAAAACATCTAAGTGATGGCATTCTCAAAACTGTCCAGTCTGATTTCAAACACATGGGGGCATCAGATATTAGCACTAACTTGCAAAGTCTCATGCAAGGTTTACTGGTTGTTCTTGATAAAGACCAATCTCAGAGGAGCATTAGGTATGGGGTACTTTTTTCACACTGACTAAATGCAGCCATGATTTAACCCTTTAAAATATTACTGGTTGTTCCACCACAAGACCACAAGTTAATTATTTTCCTAGTGTAGTGGAATTATTTACTGATGCAAAATTATTTTTCATTTCTCTTAGGGTGGTTATGAAGTTGATTCCAATCCTACAGCAGTGGATATTGCTGTATCAGTTTGTTCTGCTACAGCAGGTGTCAGCTTTCAGAGCCTCAACTAAGCTCCTCTCTACAATACTTGCAGTCTTTGGAGATGTGACTGTGAAGGTACATAACATAATTATACATGTTTGCTTACTGATAAATGCTCTTTTAAATAACAAATGGAGGTTTAGCCATTCTATTTACATTTTACCTTTTCTTATTTTAAAACGTTTTATAGGGGTTCTGCACTCCTGAGGGCCTACTAACAGAGGAAGAAGCAGGTGATGGTGAATCTGATGGCAAGCAAGAGGGCTCCATGGGTCTTGGAGACGGCGAGGGAGAAAAAGATGTATCGGAACGAATTGAAAGTGAAGACCAGTTGGATGATGCAAGGCCTGCTGGAGAGGAAAAAAAAGATGAAGATAAAGACTGCAAGGTATTCGTCAATTCACTTGAGTATTCTTGTTGGTACTCCTCTCAAATTAATTTAAGTTATGAAATTGGATAAAATTTATATTTCATTTATTGAAACAGGAGGAAGAAAAGGGCATAGAAATGTCTGAAAACTTTGATGGAAAACTACAGGATGTTGAACCAAAAGGGGATGACGCTGATGAAGATAGTGAGAGTGATGATGAGAAAAATGATGCAGAGAAGGAAATGGGTGATACTGAAAAAGATGCTGATCAGCTTGACCAACAGGTGCGTATCTTTGAAATGTGAAATTAGCTAATCAAGTACCTGTCTGTTAAATTTTTCATTTATTTTTTAATTTTTTTTTCTTTAGATATGGGGCAGTGACCCAGAGGACGATAGCAGTGATGAAGCTGACCAAAAAGATGAAGAAGGGCATTCCGGAGAAAAAACAGGAGAAAAGGAAATGGGTGCGCGAGAACGAGAAACAAATAAGGGTGACGACAATGATAATACACCAGATGACAATGAAGGAAAGAAGCAAGAAGAGAGCAAACCAGAAGTCAATGAAATGAAGGAACCAGAGGTTGATGATGACCAAGTAGATCCTTATCATGGTATGTACACTCTCCTATTTCATGTAACTATGCCTTCATTCTTGTTTCAAATTTTTAAAATATTTATCTATCTATTCCACCTGCATCATATTTTTATGTTCCATTTTCCAATCATTTTATTATATATTACTCATAAGTAAAATTACATATTATTAATCTATTGTTCAGGTAACCATAAGCCTGAAGAGGAGCCAGCAGCCTTAGAGCTGCCAGAAGATTTGAAACTGGATGATGGGGAAACTAATGAAAATGAAGAGACCAACGAAGAAAATCCATTTGATATAGATGAAATGAAAGAGAAAATGCCACCTGAACCTGAGCAGAAAGAGGAGGTTAAAGAAAATCAGACAGATACCAAACAAGATGAAGCTGAAAGTGATGTGAGTGATGATGATAATGTTGAAGAGGGCGAAAATGAAAATTGTGATATTCAGGAGCCTACCCCAGAAGAAAGTGAGGGAGATGACCCTCAGGATTCTGATGAAAGGAAAAATGGTCAAAAGCTAAATGAAAATGAAGAAGATGATAAATTGGAAGGTGAAAATGAGGAGGAAGAAAAAGCTAAAAATGAGGACATGAATCCCTCTAGAGATGACCCTACCTCAGAGCAAACTCAGGCGTCAGAGGACGTTCACCAAGGTTCAATGGATCAGGTCGCCTCGACTGCTCAACAATCTCAGGAGACTTCTGGCGAACAGCCTCCTGAAGAAGCTGATGGTGATCCTGGTGGAGATGAGAGGGATGAAGTGGGGCAAGCCCCAACAAATCAGGAAATGAAAGGTCATCATTCTGACCGGTCTGGAAAACGCCCTCAGCAGGACAACCAACAGAGAAAAGCTGGTGAAGAGGAGAAAAGGCAACGCCCAGGTCACAGTGAAGACCAGCGCTCTTTAGGAGACACCACTGAACCTGTCAAGAAACGCTTGAAGACTGTTGACCTAAAACAGACAGAAGATGAAGAAAGCGAGGAAAAATCTGAAGAGAATGTGGAGAATGAGGAAACCATGGCAGATTTGTACCAACATATTAAAGATGTCAAGGAGAAATCAACAACTCAAACCTTGGATGCAGCAACCAAAGAACAAGCGGATAAGCAACCTATTACTGCCTGTGAAGAAGAACAAGCTCCTGTACCTGAAGATGACGATGAGTCAGCTATGGATATAGAGAATGAAGAGGAACCTTTAAACAGCACAGAAACAGAGAAGAAATGTGAAGAAAATGTTAGTGGGACCAAAAACGAAAAGCAAAAGAAAGAAAAGGGAAAGACTCCTCTTCAAAGTGAAGCTGATTTTGAAGATAAAAGCATTGAAGTAGAAGGGGAAAAAGTTGATACGCTTAGTGCAGCAAGAGCTCCAGAGACAACATTTCATACTCAGTTTGAGAATCTTATTGTACCTAGTATTGTCACTATTGGGGAGGTTACAGAACAATCAGAAGCTATTCGGAAAGATCTCCAGGATCAGCTTTCTTCGTGGAATATGGAGTATGCTGGAGAAGAAGCATCCAAAGCATGGCAGTCTTTGTCTTCTTTAACAAATCCATTAGCACGGGATCTAAGTGAGCAATTGCGCCTAGTCCTAGAGCCTACTCAAGCTACTAGAATGAAAGGTGATTTCCGGACTGGGAGACGAATTAATATGAGGAAAGTTATTCCTTACATAGCAAGTCAGTTCCGCAAAGACAAAATCTGGATGAGACGTACAAAGCCATCAAAAAGGGAATATCAGATTTTACTTGCTATTGATGATTCATCTAGTATGGCAGACAACAGATCAAAGGAGTTAGCCTTTGAGTCGCTTGCCCTTGTAAGCCAAGCATTAACTTTATTGGAAGTTGGTGAGTTAGGTGTTCTTAGTTTTGGAGAGGTCATTAAAGTTTTACACAAGCTTGGTGAACCATTTACTCCGCACAGTGGAGCAAGGTACGGTAATCCAAAATAATATACATATCTATTTACTATTTTAAAATAAATCAACTCTTAACATTTTGATCAAACATTGCTGATTTGTTTCTCTTTTTGTACCAGACTGTTGCAACAATTTTCATTTGAACAACGCAAAACTCAAATTGGGGCGCTGGTGGACTATTCTACAGCACTCTTCACAACATGTAAAACCCAAACATCTGCTGAACACGCCCAACTATTGGTCGTGATTTCTGATGGAAGAGGCGTTTTTAGTGAGGGCCAGGAAAAAGTTCTCAGCTGTGTCCGGAAAGCAAGGCTGTCAGGTATCTTCATGGTTTTTGTGATTGTAGACAATCCAGAAAGCAAGGTAAGTTCTGAAAGAGTCAAATACAGTCAAATAATTTGTAACCATTGTCTAATTCCTTAAATCATTATTCTTATGAACAGGACTCAATTTTAGACATTCGAACTCCAATTTTCAAGGGAGGAAAACTTTTGGGAATATCATCATACATGGACTCATTCCCTTTCCCATTTTATTTAATATTACGTGACATCTCAAATTTGCCTGCTGTTTTAAGTGATGCCTTACGGCAGTGGTTTGAGCTAGTGTCAAATGTGGAGTGAGTTTGTCAGAAGCTGTTATTGATTTTACTTGTCCATTTGTCAGTGTATGTTAAATGTTGCATTTATATCTCTATATTATAAGTAATAAATGAGACTGTTATTGCTATTGATGGTGTGCACTGGAGTGGAACCCTTTCCCAGTAATGACGATATGTCCTTCAGCTAGGCGAGGACCCATCTCCCATTGGTTTTCACAAAACTGTCTACATACAATTAATACGCGGGAGAGAGACTTTTTAATTTACTTGTGCTCTTAAGGTAGTCAGTCAAGAACAGAAAAGTCAACAATAACACAGATACAACCTTGGAGCTCAGCTTGAGCTTACTTGGTATCTCCAGGTATCTCCTTTTCTCAAGGTATCTCAAGATGGTACCACTAACACCATTTGAATTAGTCTGAATAACCCGCTATACTGACGTCATGCTGCACCCCCCCCCCCTTTTTCCAACTTCATCCAATCACAACAAAAGCAAACAAAGACGTGTTTAACTGCCGCTGCAATAATTTCTAAGGTACTTCCTGTTTTAAGTAAATGTTTGCGTAGTTTAACGATGTATGCAGCTAAACAACTATTTTGAACCTCATTATGTTTCATCTTCTGGTGAAATGTCATTGAGCTGTCATCATAGATGCCACATTATTTGACGTTTAAGGTTATAAACGCCCGGTGTTTAAATTTATATATGGTCCTTAATTAAGATCTCTTCGAGAAATAAATTGAAAAACTTCCTCCAATTTGATCCATAATTGTATCTTTACATGTGAACCATTACATGACTCCTCGGAGTGCTGTAATCACTGTTGCCCAGAGGTGCACGTCTGTAATAATACTTCACACATTCCCTTACATTGTAGATGAAGGAAATTAAGTACAGCTTGGATCATTATGTCAATACCTACACAATCGAAATATCAAATCAAATTTTGGATGGTAGTGGTATTATTTATCATCCAACATTCAAAGCACTAAGTTATTTACTTCTGGATGTAATACGGAGAAGAGTTCATAAGCGGAAAGGGTATGTGCAGTAACAATACAATTTATAACCAAATCTAACATCTTTGTGAATGTTTCAAGTAGCTTGATCTCTGCTTTATTTTGCATTCTTTTTTTTACAGACATATATTGGTGTTAACATCATCAGAAATTGCAGCCAAACATCACACACAGTTTCTGGAGAGACACTTGTTGACTGACAGTGTTGGTTGCCCAAAAAATACAGAGTTTGCAGATGTATGGCCGTCTGTAAGCATCATCCCATTATTCTTCTTGATTTGATAAATGCATATGTGCTAGGAATAATCTACTCTTTATCTACTTTATTGTTGCAGGTGATAGTCACAAGCATATTTAGCATTCCAAGTTTGCTGACTAATGATCAAAACAAAAATATCAACCTTGTCATAATACTTGACTGTCATAATGCTTTTAAGAATGGATGTGTCAGTGAGGTATTGTGCTTTTCCTCTGAAAGTGAGTATTTTTAAATGGTATCACTTGAGTTGACATTTGTATTCTGTATTTTTACAGCTCATTGTATTCACAAAGAAGCTTGAAGGTGGATTGGCTCCACACATCCTTTGTTTCACATCATGCATTTTTCCTGACACACTTTGCGAAGAAACAGCAATTGAGTATCTTCAACGGCTGGAGACATTTTATGGATGCAAGCTGGTAACTGTTTGTGATGAGATTGCTTTAAAAAGGTAAATGTAAAAGTATTCATCAGAAAAGTCACAATGAACCAAAGTTTTTAAAACATTTGTATTTTCTACTTTTCAGAGTTTTTGATGCACCAGATACAACTTTCAACACTTTTGGGAAACAAGATGCATTGAGTAAATCTTGCATGGATGCTCTCTTTGAAATTAATGCTGCCAAAGATTTGTGTGCAAACTTATATTTCCATGTAAATGAGAAGGCCGTTCAAACATTCGCCTCTAGCAGTGAAACCTTTGTGTCCAACACACTTTCTGAAATTCAGGTATGAAAAGCCAATTGCAATGAAACTATGTACATACCTAGTTTGATTTCAACTGTTATTATTATTGTCATCTTGCTCATGTATGATTTAGTTTCAACTTGAAGAACTTGGTGAGTGTGGGGGCGATTTGGCAGCATTAGCTGCATTTAGGCACTTGGTTCGCCTCTATACTTTTGCGGATAGTAGTCCTGGTCCATCAACAAAATATGCTTTAGGACATCTTGTGTGCACACTTGCAAAGTTCAGGTTAGTTTAGTAAATATTAAGATTAAATTGTATGAAATTTTATCTCAAACAATTTTTGATGATCTTATTTATTGTAACTCCAGGAAAATTTTGACTGAAGACATGTTCAGAGTACAAATATGTGAGCGGATTGAATATTTCTCATCTAAGAAAGTTCAGTTAGCCCTTAATCATTTACAAGTTTTGCCTCAGAATCACAAAGCTATATTGATTGTCCAAAACCCCAACACGGCTAGCATTCTCACATTGATGCTTCAGGTAAACTTTTTAAATCCAATTTTTTTTTGTAAAACCTCAGACATTTAAATAAGTATTTCTGTTTGTTTTCAGAAAATTGCTATGCAGGGGAAAAAACATGTTCACATCAAACCAGAACTTGTGGTCAATTGCTCCTCAATTCCTTTCTCAGAATCGTGGGAGGATATTTTATGGTGGGAACGTAATATGCAAGTTTACTCCAGGTTAGAAATATAATGGTAGTAGCAATCTAAGGATAGCAATTTCCAGTTTGAAAAAACATAGCCAATTTTCTTAATTCTGTGAACAGATTTAATGCTGGAGAAACAAACACAATAGTCCTTTCAGGAGAAATGCAAGAGATGGATCTACCATGCTGTGATTTAATTTTAGTCCTGGATAAAATTGAAAATTTCTCTCGCTTCTTGTCTGTTAAAAACCAACTGAAAAGTGAAACTGGGAAACTTATCTTGCTGTGTGAAAAAACAGAACTGATTGCATACGAGGAAAAAATTACAAAATTGCAAGAAAATGTGATCAAGATGCAAACCTTGGTATGAGCTCATAAATGCAATTCATCAACACCAGTTTTTGGTTAAAAAACTTAAATTAAATTTTCATTTCTTTAGATCTTATCAGAAAGTTGCAATGCCAACCAGTTAGTAAATACTAGTTTATTCAAGACACCCACAGGATTGGAAGTAAAAAGTGACATCGCAACATTTCTTTTGTACAGGTATAGTATGGTTAATTTATTTTTTATCTCTGTTTAATTTCAAAGCTAAAAATCAATCTGTGATTCATGTGATTGTACTGGTGGTTACAGATACTGTGATAATTTGCCTCATGATAAATTTTCTTCTCCTTGGCCTGTGTGGGAATATGAAAAAGATGCTTCTATTCCTCACATGACCCATGCTACTTTGTATCTATCTTGCTCATCACCCATTAATACTGTTAAGGTGCAACTGTTGATCCTAAGTACCTTTTACAGAGTTTTGATGACCCTGTTGTAATAATTAATCTAATTTTTCTGTAGAGTGAACAACATGAGAAAACATGGAAAATGGCTCAAAACAGTAGTTCTTTCCAAGCGATTTGTGAATTGTATAAAGCAAAAGAGCTTGATGATGCTCAATTAATATCTTGGCAAAATAAAGATGAGAGAAGTGAAGAAACCCTTAAAATAGGGAATTCAAGTGACTTAGATGTACAAGCTTACTTTGAGTCTAAGCTTGGGTTAAGTTATTTAAGAACACACTGTAAAGAACAAAAAAATTTAGAAGATGAAGACATTTTATGTGACACAATTGTGAGGAATCTTTGTTTTTATGGTACACTCTGTTATCATAACGAAAATTTCACATTCACACTATCTATTTATTTCTCAGTATCCACGGTGTTTAATGGACAACTATCCAAAAGTTAATGGGCAGACATTCATCTATAAAATAAAAATTTGGCCAGTTTCTGAGCCTCCTCCCTTTGGTGATAATCGAAAGACGGTGCTTTATGAACTTCTGAATGACAGAAGAACTTTTGCAATCTTATCATCTAAAGATTTACTTCAGGTTGCTTGTCTTGTCTATAGAGTGCCTGAATTTTTTTCCCTCCGATTTCACTGTCTTATATTTGGCATTCCAACATTCCAGGTGTGTCCATTCCCCATCTTTATATTTGGTCATGAACTATGTGTAGAATTTGAAACACTAAGCTCAATTGAATTGGATCAAAGTGAGCTTATGCTGTTGAGGAGGTTTCATTGTGGGATGTTTATGAAGGTTTTACCTATTGTGCAACCTTTTATGCAGTTCAATGTCTACGGCAGCCACAATAATTATTTAGTTGCTCCAATTACTGCTGGTAATATGTTTTTGGTCAGAAAGTGTGTTTGTTTGCTGTTTAGTTCAAATTTGTGTAAAGCTACCTTTCTGTCCAGAGGGTGTCATTGATTGGAAAGTTGTGCAAAACAATTTTTCTGTACCTGAATGCCGGGAATTCTCGCATGAAGAAAAGGCAGGCCTAAGTTGCACACCTGAGTTATATGAAAGGACCATGGTGAAACCCTGCTACAGATACTTGAATTCTGATCAGGTAATGTTCACAAATATTCTCAAAGTAGGAATTTTAGTGATTGTAGCCGTAATGTAGACATTTCTTTTTTTAGATATACCTTGTTACATCTGTCTGTATGGATATGTGCGGTGATAGCTGTTTTCCAACTGAGGATTTTGACACTTTTACCGACTACTACAAGGAGAAGTATTATATTAACTTAGAAAGACCAGAGTTGCCTCTCCTAGAGGCATACCTGATTAATACTAAAGTTAATGGACTTTTGCCCAGGTATTTTTTATCATTAATGTAAGAAATTATCCTTGTAAATTCAAATTTGTTCTTTATTGTACGTGCTTTTGTCTCTAGAGCTCGTTCACATAAACTGCGAAGAGAAGAAAAAATGGAAGATTTCAGGGAGCACATGCTCCCAGAACTGTGCACACCACTTTTATTTCCAGCTGCCTTATGGTTGAAACTATCATGCCTACCTTCAGTTTTGCACCGATTTAGTAGGTTGCTCCTTATTGAAGAATTCAGAAGAACTATCATTGAAGAGGCTGGAACTGGAGCACCTGAAATAAAGTTTACCCCTCTTCAAATTGACCCTACCACTGTTAAGGATGTCTCAAATGTATCTAAAGTGCCTCCTTCAACGGTCAAACGTGGTTTGGCCATTGGTAATGTAAAATTAGAAAATCGCAAAAAGAGATCAGAGTATAAGAGACCATGGAGTGGGAATCAGGAGCCAGTAGATATGTACCGCAATATGCAGGCCTTAAACTTTGTTGAAATTCGCTACTTTGATGAATATTTGGTCAAAAGTGTGGCCAATCCTACTCTGGTAAGTTTGGAATTTTAAATTTTGTGTCCAACATTTTCCTGGTTTTGACTACAGAAATAATAAAAAAAATGAACTTGGATTATTTCGCAGTCTGAAGTAGCTGAGCCACCCAATGATGTCATCGATTATGAGTCTGACACAGACTCCTGCTCTTCAAATAACATTGAAAGCAGCCCTCCTATAGCTGCAAAGAAAGTTGTAGTCCCTGAATCTCTCTTGTATCTCAAGCCTCACCATTATGAAAGTTGTGGACCAGAACAACCGGAGTTGCTGGAGGTTGGTGTATATTCTGCTCCAAAGAAAGCAGAATGGATACAACATTTTTTAAAAAACTTCTTACATTATAAAATTTATATAAATAAATGAAAAAAAAATTGCTGTTATTAGGTCTTTTCATCATCTTCAAGTAATGACGGTGTTAACATGGATCGCATTCAAGTTCTAGGTAATGCTTTCCTTCGGCTTGTTATTACTGTGTATTCCTATGAATATGGCTTGGACATCATTGGCAGTGCCACTTTGACTTGTCTTCATAGACTTCGTTCTGACTTCATGTGTAAGATGAATTTGGAAAAGTTTTCTGTTTTGAATCAACTTTGCAATAGAATAAAGGTATGAGTTGAGGCACAATAATAGAATAAGATAATGCTTTTTTATTTTTAAATTTAAACTATTTTTTTATGAGCAGGTGGTTGATTTTACTCCAGGAGAGTGGACTCCTCCAAGTTTCACTACACCTCCCATGCTTAAACAAGTCCTGAAAGAACAAGAAATCAGCCCAGATGTGCTACAACAGATAGAACTAAGTGAAGATGAGCAACTGGATGGTATCATAGATGCTGATACTGAAGACAAAATTCTTGAAACTTTGACAAACTTCATTAATAGAAACACTTCCCGGCGTGATGAGATGTATGTGGATCGTCACATTGTTCCTCAGTCCACCGCTTCAAATTGTGTTGAAGCACTAATTGGGACCTATTTCAAGGTTTGTTTGCCTCTCCAATGAAAATATTTCTATGCGATTAGTATGAAAATCCAAACCAAGGGTTTCTCTTTACAGAGTTGTGGTTGGCAAGGCGGTTTAAAAATAATTAGTTGGCTTAAACTCCTGCCACCAATAGTTAACATATTGGATCAAATTGATAGGCCTTCAGCGACCTTTGAAACAGGCAAACTACCAATCAGCTTAGATTCGCTGGAGGAAAAACTGGACTACATGTTTACAAGGAAGACATTACTGGTTCAAGCTGTTACACATGAATCCTTCATTAACCCTGTGATTCAAGGAAACATGGACACACTTGCTTTTCTAGGCATCAGTATACTAGGTTTGTCTTATTATTCTAATTTGATAATTTCTGAATTTTTTAAGGTTTTATTTCATTATTTACTCAAAGAATTCTCCTTGTTCCAGATTTTCTTATGACTTGTTACATTTATGAGCATTTCTCAGAGTTGAATCCCCCTCAGCTTTGGCGACTACGTGAAATTCTTTGTTCTACATCCTCCTTAGCATATCTTGCTGTTCGCCACAACATCCACAAGTATATTTTGTCAAACTCTGTACCTTTGTTAGATGTTATTGATCGATTCATCAAACATCAGAAAGGCTGCCAACAACCTATTGATGATGAGGTTTGCATTTAATTGAAAATCAGGTATTCTGATTGAGATTTGCATGACTATTCCTGTGTTATGATAGATTATATTTATTCTTTTGACCAGTTGCAACTGCTTATTGAAGAGCATGAGTGTGAGAGTGGTTTTCAAGTGGAAGTACCCAACACACTTGGCAAACTTTTACCTGCACTAGTTGGTGCTGTTTACATAGACAGTGGTAAAAATATTCATCTTGTGTGGGACACATTTAAACACATTTTCCTTCCTGAACTCGGTGTGACTATGAAACTAAATTATTTTTTCAAAAACTTAAGTTTATTTTCTACATTTTTCCTCTCATTTATTTTTTCTAATCTTTTTTCTTTTCTTTTAAAGGCCTGTGGCGTCAGGATGTACCTCTCTCAGTTGTGGACCTCTTAAAGGATTTGTCTCCAGCTGCTCATCAGGTTATATTCACGTAAGTAAAAGAATAAATGTTGTCATTCTTCAATGAAATGTGATTTTTATTGCAATGAGTTTACCTGTTTATTAAAATTTCAGAGAGAAGACTAGGGTTGATGGCAAAATTGAAGTCTTATGTAAGGTATTGATGGACAACACACGTGAAAAGGTTTTTGTCGCAAAAGGCACAGATTTAAACAAGACAAAGACACATGCTGCCAAACTTGCCCTCCGAAACTTGTTGGAAAGAACAAACTTAAACTATTAAATTTTCTGTCACTTTGTTCAGCTGCCATTTGGATACAAGATATTTCATTTAAAATAAGATAATGAAAAAAAATTAATTGCTTGTAGTATGACATCTGTTTATGGTTGTTTTTGATTTAATTTTTTTATTAGATATTAATCAAATTTGATTGGCTGTGACATTTTTTTTGTTGTTGTTTCGTGGTCTTGTTTTTAGGAGAATAAATGAACACGTCAGCTCTTTTCTTAAAGACTGGTTTTATTGAGACAAGACGTATGCTTGAAGGCATTTGCTCTTGTTCTCAGAATGAGATTTGACATAAAATTACCTTTACTTTACCTATATTATATCCTGTCTTCTCAACTCAAACAGGAAGCAATGTACAATATATTATACAAAAAGAAACATCCTTATACAAATAATGGCACATATTGTGGAGTGTATAGGCATTATGTTAATTGGCTCTCTTGACTGTTAGAGCTCACAAGTCCTTTGTAAAAGAATCATCACATTATTAACAAGTCCGCGTGCAGACCACCTCACAGCACTGTTTTACGTATTTCTTCACGTTTTCAATTTTGTAAAAAAAATAAATAAAAAAAATGAATATGAATGTTTTGCGAGCATGGAAGACAGGATGAGTTGTAAGGCAGTGCGTGCGGACTAGCGGGCAGGGATTACATAATTGGTAATAATTATAATAATACTTAAGCTTTTTATTATTACATTGTTGGTAATAATAATAATTTGCTTACTCATCCTTTTGTGATTGCTAAAAGGAGATTGGATGCGTTCATGTCATCACAGAAAGATGATATCTACAGTAATACTGTTGGTAGAGGAAGGAAGGGTTCCACATGTCGGGAAGTGCAGCACTGGGCCTTATTCTACTGTGTGTGCGACCGCTCCGCCTGGCTCCGTCGAGAAGTATGCTTACACACCTGCAGCCTCCCGCAGGGGCTCAGCCCCACAAGCCTGGTTGCACCCTTAGTCTGGGTCACCCATCAGACGAGCGCCATGGCCCCAGAGGGCCGCGCCCACGATCACGCCCAGGGCCACGACGCTCAGCACCAGCTAGGGGTCGTCGACCACCACTGCGCCCGCCGCCGTCACCGGCTCCTCTAGCGACGCTGTGGTGGTGAACGCCTCTGTCGTCATGGTAACTGATTCATCGTGTTCCTCTCCATCCTCATCGCCTTCCTCCTCTTCCGACGTGTCGCCCTCGTGTAGCAGCCCAGCTGTCGGCGGCGTGAACGTGGTTGACGTCGTCGTCGTGGGTTGGGATCTCTGGAGTGCGGGGTGCGCCACAAGGATCTCTATGGGGGGTACTGCAGTAGTGGTCGTGGTTGAGAGTGTTGTGCCGTTTGTTAAAGCAGGCGTACTAGGGACGGCATGAGAAACCGACGTCTTTCTGACGACCTTAAGTCGTTTGTGGTGCGACAAGTGCTGTTTTTTCTCATTCCTAGATTTGCGCTTCTTAGCGGCGATCATCTGCAGCCGCTTGTGGCACAGGTCTTCATCCTCGGTCGCCTCGCACTTCCGCCGCGACGGGCGCGCTCCCGCGAGAGGTGGCGCTGGCGCGGCAGGGAGGGGGAGCGCCATAGGAGGCACCACCGGCGCCGACGGCGGCCTGAAGGCGGGCGCGGGGGTCGCGGGGGCTGTTGTCGTGGTGCGTCGCCGCGCCACCACGCCGACGCCGTGCTTCCGTGGCCCTGCCGCTGGCCCGGGGCGCGGACATCGCCGTGGCCTCCGGGGTGTGGCCTCCGGGTGACCATGGGGCGGGCACGCCGCGTGGTGGCCCCGGTGCCGAAAGTGCGGTGCCGCCCCCGTCCCCATGGGCGTCCCTGCACCACCCCCACGCAGTCGGGTGAGCAGGTCGGCCACGCGCTCGGCTGCCACGGGCTTGGTGAGGACACGGGTGTAGGCGGCCAGTCGCCCCTGTGGCGCATCCTTCCGGAGCTGCACCCGCCGGGGAGCACCCCGTCGGTCCAGTGCCAGGTACAGGCTACGGCCCCGGGGGCCTGTGCCGCTGTACTTGGCTGACGAGTACGTGTTGTAGTAGTGTTGCTCCAGCATCTCATTGAACACGCAGTCGTCCGTCAGCTCCCTCTGCAACAGATGAACAAAGCGAATGCTGTTACAGTCTTTCCCAGAATAGAGGGGAGGGCAACAGTTTCTTCATCGTCATTGGCCGAGACTGTTTCGCCTGTGCACTAGCAGCAGTTTCAGTTTTGAAATGGTTTTATTGAAGTCAAATTGGCAGTCAAACTGGCAACAGTCTACTGACGACCGCCCGCTTTCGTAGTTAGACTGTACACAATGCACGCGTGTGGCCCAGTTGCCTACTCACTAGGCGCCCGTAAGGTCAACAGGGCGAATCAGCCACCTGCTACAAGAAGCTCTCACCGCACTGTCCTAGTCTTCACCCAAGGAGAACAGGGAAGCCACAAAATTACGTCAAAATTACGTCAAATAGTCACTATTTTGGCACGAGGGACATCATTTGTGACGTCGTATCAGTGTCAGTGACTCCAAACAAAATGAGTTCATATTGACCAAGCTGTTCCCCATTGGAAAAATCAATTATTTACTTGAACATTCGAGTAAAAAAAGACATATAAGGGGGCGAAAAAATTAAAGTTCTCAGAGTGCCACGACTCTCCGCATATAAGATTACAGCCTAAAATTTCTCTTCGGTCATTACAATCGTTTGCTGATCACTACAACTCCGGGCCACTTCAGAGCCGGACTGCAGTCTGGAACAGCGGGCCCGGTCTGGCGCGGCCGGCGTTGTGGCTGAACGGCCTCTGATAATTAGATCATCAAGCCCCCCCCCCCTTTCCCTCTCCACCTCTCTCCTCTACCTTTCTACTCGGCCTCGCTGAGACCCGTCAGACTCCATTTCGGTTGATTTATCGCAGACGAAATGCGTCACTACATGGCGCGCCAGACGGGCCCCGTAGTGAGTCGTGTGCTTCCAGCAGCAGCAGCAGAGATGGGAGGGAGAGGGGCGCGACAAGTATTATTAGTTATTATGGAGGATCGCCGCGCCGCGACCAACTCTTACACAGTAACGCTGCCGCTGCCCGGCCTCCCGTGTTACCCGGACGGACAAACGAGTTCATTTAGGAGCGCATGGGCGACTCACCGGATACGTAACTTTTCGTTTTCATTCAGGTTGTGTCCCTTGGCGGCGCAAGAATGAGAAATGGGTGTAGAACAGTTTTGAAACATCTGCCTGAAACTATACCCCCTCCCCCTTCCCCACCCCTGCGCTATCACGTTCGCTATATGCGTGTGAAATAAAACAAATGAATAACAAAAAAAGGGCATCATCCTGGAAATATATGGTGCCCACTTGGGCTGGAATGTTGGCCAAACTACTGGCTCGATGGGCCCACTGATTACCTCCCGCGGGACGGATGCTCCCCGACGCCACGCCAGGTATATCGTTTTACGCGTGCGGCTTATGGCCCCATGTCCTTACGGCCTTCTGGGGTGCGCAGTGGGGGCCCGTGCATCGCCACGGGGACAACGCGAGTGATGGAGAGAGATGGCGGCGACCAGCAGCAGCAATCGCAGCAAAGGACCGCTGGGAAAGGTGACTTGACTTTAACCGCGAGGCCTCTGTTGGCCCAAGGCCCAAAGGTTTTTGATCCAGCTGGATAGCCAGCCGTTCACTGTAACAGACCCTTCCACCGGGGCGGGCTACGCCGAGCAGTCGCGCTGGTTCCGGTTTCCAGTGCCAACCGGGGCAAACCCAGGGTCCTTTTGGCACTTACACGAAAGTGGTTGCTTCGTGACCATGTGCTCCCAGCCGCCTTTCTATCAGTTTCAAACAAATTGCCTTTATGTCTAGCCTATGGAAACTGAAACAATACGTGGCAAGAAATGGTTTCACATAAAAATCACACCGCGCGGGGATGGCCAAGTGCCACAACAACGTTTGTTTGAGTTTTCCGGATGCAGTTGGGGTGGCGCTCGACTGGGTCAAATTAGCCCCGACAAGAAACTTCGTCCCGACGTGTGCCTAAGCATTGTAAAGGGCGTCGTGTCGCCACTGCGTTCGGAAATAGCTGGTGTTGCTGCTGCTGTCTCCTCCCACCTCTGAGTCTCCGCTGGCCTCCCCCTCCAATAGGAAGAGAAGGGGGGGGGGGGCAGCCCCAATTAGTAAGGGCGTTAGTGCGGAGGACCCGGCGAGGCGAGGGACCCCGTCGTGGAATGTGACTTGAAGCTGCGAGTCGTTTAGAGAGGCGACCCGTTCCCTCCGGGACTATTGGGGGCCACGCCCCCCATCACCTGCAGCACTACTTTGTGTTTCGTCAGTAGAATGTCGGGATCCGTGTCGAGGATCAAGAACAAATTGCCCACCTTTCAGGCGGCTCAGTCAAGACGACCCGGGGGAGGGGGGTGAATTCCCCCCTTTAACATCCCCTCTAACCCTTTGGGCTCGAACCATTTCCAAAATACCATACTTGCTCCTCTCTCATGCCCACTGCTGCTGTGTTTGTACTCACCGAGCCGTAGAGCAGTCCGCAGGCGTCCATGCAGAGGAACAGGCACGTCGCTATCCCCTGCATCTTCACTTGCACTTTATTGACTGACGTCCTCTGGAGCACGGCTGCAACACACGAGAGGACGCACTGTCACTTCACTTCACTTCACTTGGAGTGTCCAACGGGACGGGGCGGGACGGGGTGGCCAGCCGGCCAGCGAAGGGCTGGGGCTGGTGTGTCAGAAAGAGGGAGAGGGGGGGGGGATACCATGAACTACGTGGTGGAGAAGTTCTGTGAGTGAACGGCCGCTCGGTCTCTAACCCCACTAAGCATAGGCAGGGTGGGCAAGCTCCGGCCACCCGGCCGCCGCCATGCAGGCCAGGAGGACAGGTAGGCCGGCCCGCCGGACAGGCGCGCGCAGCGGGCTGCAGGCGGGGCGGCCCACGGCGGACTAGGGAGCTGCCCGCGCGGCGAGGTGGGGGGCGCAGCCAGCACGGCCGACGGAGCAGGCCGAGCGTCGCTGAAAGTGACCGTGATACCGGCGACGGCGAAGACGGAATGCCGATCGTGGATGTTAGGGACACGTGGGGTACGAGGCTTGTCGCGCCTTCCGACGTTTTCGCAATAAAGAAGCTGCGGGCTGCGCGAGAAATGGCACGCGGCGAGCGAGCGGGCGCGGCTATGGGCGCGGCGAAACGCTGAGATCAGCGAGCAAGCGAAGAGAGCGCCGTACCAACTCCCTACTGTACTCCTCCTTCTGCTGAAGCTGCGAGGGGCGCACCGCGCCATGTGTCTGCATGTCGCTCGTCACGTAGGCTCGTTTGCGAGGGGCGTGGTGGGGCGTGGCGAGGCGTGGCGAGGCGCGGCGAGGCGCGGCGGGGCCGGGCGGTGCGGGGCGGGGGCGCTGGACGCGCGCAAACCCACAATCGGCGAGCAAAGTCAGCGCGCCGGCGCGTCTGATGAGAGAGATGTGTCCCCCCACCACTCCCCCTCCCCACCTCATACTCGCGTGCGAGCGCGTGGCGATTGCTGTCGCACCGCCTAGATAGAATTAATCGGGGAATGACAAGGAATGCCCATGAGGGGGTGAATATTGTCCCAGATTCATCAAAAAAAGTGAGGT